GCTAATAACTTGTGTCTGCATTTAAGAGCTGCTCTAATTAAAATAATGCATGAAACATAATGAAAGATTGTGTCCCAAAAATAAAAACCGACTGTAGTTGTGACAAAAACAAACAAAACTATATTTATGTATTATATATTTATTATTAACTATATTATTTAAACACAATAACAGATTATAAATAAATTATGATTCACAATATATTATGAATCACAATTTATTTATTCTTTATTTATTTTTTAATGCGGTTAGCATTACAAAAAAAAAATGTCTGGTACAAAAGGCGAACTTAATACTATATAGCATTCTCTCGCAGTCAACCTTTGACAAAACAGAAATGTGATTATGCGGTGAAATAATTAAAAATTTATCTTTATTTAATTAGTAAGTGATATGTAGTTATGGCTGTATTTGTTGATTTCACAGATAACTGGACAATTTTCTTTTGAATACAAGCTTACTCGACACCATGCGCAGTATATTATTTCAAATAAAAAAAAATCCAAATCGGTTCAGAACTGACGGAATTATGAGGTTTTGTTACCTCATAATTCCGTCAGTTCTGACTTTCTTTTCTTTCTCATGTCGATTGAATTTGACGTAAAATTTGACGTTTCTTTTTTAAGTCGATCGAAAATAATAGTACATTACTGCAGCGGCCGGCAAGAATAGCATTGATGGACGAACGTGTGAATGTGGGCCGAGGGGAACCCGAGGCACACATACGTGAGTCCATCAATGCCTAGTTGCGGCCAAGGCTTGTATAGTACTTTTCTCAAATAATGCGCGGAAATTATTCAAATTCACGTTATGTTTCATTAAAATTGTGCATTTTAGCATTGAATAGATGACCCAAAGCGTTGTAGGCTTCACTTTCTTGGCGAGTTCGCCGAAATAAGCCAGAAAAACATTTTCGGATAAGGATTTCGATTTTCTTTCATTCTTCCATTGAACGAAATTTTCATAGATTTTCGAATATTTTTCTTTAGAATTTGGCGGCAACAAGTTTTCTACTACGGCTCTTGCTGCCTCTTGAATTTCAGGTGGCGTTAAAATAATTTCATTACACTCATTGTCTTCACTTGAACTCATTTTGTCAAATACAAAAGTATTTAAAACCAATGATGAAGTTGACGAACAACTAATAACAATAGTTTTTTACGCGCCAAAATACTTTTTTTTTCACTAAACAGCTTTCTATATGCAAGCCAGTTCGAAATTTAAATTAAACCTTTGATAAGTTACCTCTTTGATCGTCATGTTGCGGAGTAGAAGATCGTTCCATTTTTAAATTACACGACAAATATGATTTTACATAGTAATTTATTTGGCCGCTAAACACGACACATATGGATTTTCATACAACTATTGCCGGCCGCTGCTCGACCAGTACCGCAAGTTCGATTTATCTCAAAGAAGGTTGTCAAAATAATGCTCAAATTTCCAAGCACGTTTGAGAAAAATAATAATATTTGGCTGTAACGATTATAAAAATTAATTTAGTTATTAAAATAAATAATTAGTAAATAGTACATATCTTCTATTTAATACAAAGCGTTTGAAGACAAATCTGGACCATTTTTCAGCATTTAACAGAATGCAGTTACAGTACTGTCAGTTTTTATTTGATGGGTGAAAATGGTATGGTAGCCCCGCCTGCGCTAACGGGATACGCTGGCGGAGCACCAGTGAAGGGTGATAGATGAGAATGAAAACAGGCCAGTTAGCCCATCATGATGAATTCATCAGGAATTAACCATGATAGTTACCAGGGGGAACCGCGAGGAGGTCGACCTGGTTGGGTATATTACTAGCAATGGGATTCTCAGTCTCCATTACTAACAATCCCTTTCCCCCCCACAATACTGTCAGTTGTCACGATTGCCTAATATTAATATTAACACGACCTTTAACAAATTCAAATCCACTTTTATTACAAACGAGCATGCGGCTCACCTGATGGTAAGTGACTACCGCCGCCCATGATCACCTACAACACCAGCGGCAGTGCAGGTGTGCTGCCGGCCTTTTAAAAAGGAATATGCTCTTTTCTTGAAGGTTATGTTGTCGTATCGGTTCGGAAATACTGCTGCTGGAAGTTGATTCCAAAGAGTGATTGTGCATGGAAGTGCCTTGTGCCTTGGTGGGGTACAAGTGAGGAATGACAGGTAAGAATAAACGGACAGGTAAGCTGGCTCATCGCAATAATTCAGGACAGGATCTGGAATACAGCACGATGGTTTGGACCTAGCAAGAGGAAGTGCTGGAAGTTGATTCCAAAGAGTGGTTGTGCGTAGAAGAAAGTGCCTTGAAAAACGCACGGTGTAAAATACTTTGTATAAATTCTATAGTTTAATTTAATCAGCTTATTAACAGCATCGCATGCATCATCGCACATATGTATAGATTATAAGTGTACAAATCTAGTATATTACTGTAGTCTATCTATTTATTGTATACCTATGTAGTACTGTAGTTTTTATCATTTTTCATTCTTACAGTATTATAATATGATTACGCGTGTCTTTGTGTCCTTTAATCAAGGCAGCATTTTATAATGTAACCATATTATCATGTATTTTAAATTGATATAAATGTATACTTTGTTGGTTGCCCTTAAATAAATACTGTGATATCTTTCGTGTGTGTTTGAGTGGGGCTCTGGTTGGTTTAGATTTACAGTTAAATCCGGTAGGTAGTAATGTGGTAATAGAAAGAAAGAAAGAAAGAAAAATATTTTATTCAGTGCAATGTAAAAAATACAATATAAACAACAAACGAGAAAATAAAAATGAGCAAATAAAATGTACATATAATTAAACTTAATTTACCATAATTAAAAATTAACATAAAATAATCATTTTTACATCCAAAAATGCACTGAAATGGCTCCACTCAGCTTTAATGTATGTCCTAGGTGAACATACAGCTGGTAGGTTATAGGTTTCCAGGAACAACCCTTACAATTTGATTTTTAAATTTTTTTAATTAATTATTAAAAATTTAACTTTCATTCAAATAATTAGATATATAATTATGTTATAAAATATATTAAATATCTAATTATTTTATTTATTAGTTTTATTGATTAATGTTTAGATTTATGTTATAACCAACTAAAGCATCTCAGAGGCGATTATTAGTGGCATGAAATAGCGATGGGCGCTAGGAATATACCAAGTCAAGTTGACTTTACTGAATGTGTGTGCGGCGTGAATTTACTGGGTACAGAGGAATAACACCTGAGTCCTCAGGAATGGCAACACATGGGGGGTATCATGGGCGAAACAGTATACTCTGTTATGTCCATGGTACTGCTCATGTCTATAGGCGACGGTTACCACTTTCCATCAGGTGGGCCGTCAGCTTGTTTGCCATTCTAAGTTCTATAGTTTTAGTTACTTTCACAGTATCATGTCATATGGCATTATATTATGGGGGAGGGCTGCTGACATCGATACAATCTTTGTACTGCAAAAAAGAGCAGTTCGGTCAATATTTAATTTGCCTTCTCGGGAATCTCTTAGAGAATATTTTAAGCAAACAGGTATACTTACTGTTCCCTCGCAATATATATACGAAAACATTATGTATGTACGTAAAAATATAAATCTTTTTAAAAATAACAGTGACATACATAATTTCAATACAAGAAATAAAAACAAATTGAATGTTCCTTGTTATCGCCTTAGAAAAGTCAGTACATCTTTCATGGGGAACTGTATACGTTTTTATAATAAACTTCCAGATGACGTTTTACAATTAAATGAAAGAAAATTTAAGACATATATAAAAAGGACTCTCTGTACAAAAGCATATTATAAATTAAATGACTATTTAAATGACAAAACTGCATGGATTTGAATTTTGTATTAATGTGAATTGTATTGTAAATGTAATTATTGCATTTTTTCTTAAATCAATATTATTTTCTATAGTAATTATTATAATTATAGACTGACGTATCATAAGTATCTGTAACAGATGTATATGAATAAAGATCATTGATTGATTGATTGATTGATATAAAAAAAAAAAAAAAAAAAACTTCATCTCCGTTCCCGTGGTTAATTCACCACGATGAGCTAACAGACCTGCTTTCATCCTCCCTCACTGGTACCCCACAAATATATATCGATAGCGCTGGCGGGTGACCTTTTCTCACCCAAATCTAGTAAAAATTAAATATCATTATCACTTTAATGCTTGGGGGGGTAAAGAATTATGAGTTAGGGGGTTTGGGGGTCTAACAGCTCCAATACTGGTGGGGGAGAAGGGATTGTTAATAATGGGTGTCTACTTATTATATCATCTTCATCATCACCATCATCATCATAGCAGCCGTTAACTGTCCACTACTGAACATAAACCACCTTCATCAGGGGGGGTTTTAATTCATCACACATGGCAGGCGAGTTTGCAATCGCGATTAGACTTTGGTGATGTTTTAAGACTCATTATGTTTGATGAATACTTTCTATAAAGATTTGCATGCTATTAAATATAGCGAAACATATTGAACAATAAAAAAAAAAACAAACTGTAACCTCATATTGTTAAGAATGTATAAGTTTATGCTTTTGCCTACTCTCAATCTATGATAATAAAAATAATATATATATAGATATTATCTGTGGAATAGGTCGCCGTTGCTTTTGAATGTTCTGGTTATAAGTTTTTATTTCTTTATGTATATTTATATTTTTTCAATAAAACTGCATTATCAGTTACTAAATAACTTAATTTACTAAATAATAAAATAACTTCATTTAATTTTGGCATTTGTGTTATTATTTACAATGGCTACTGATGATTCAAAAGTGGGAGATGGTTCAATTTGCCATACAATTTTAGAGAAAATTAATGCAATAAATGAAAATGTTGTTACCAAGCCTCCGGATATTCATGATTTCACTATTATAAAACCTATCAGCCGTGGTGCGTTCGGCAAAGTATTTCTTCTCTCTATCTGTGGAATATAAGTGAATAAAGAAACAGCATTATAAAATTATTAGTTATTTTATTATAAATAAATATCCACAATAACACATATTAATTAAATATGTTTCTGGCAAATAATTATTATTATTAAGAGAGACTGCTATCCGTCCCTCGAGCATTAAGCTGTGACGCCACCCATGAGAAACTTATTGTATAAAATAAATAGAATATACTCTTTTATTATATTCATAAACATTATTGTTTATTTAAATACGAAATACACAAGAATTGGATACCAAAACATTTTAACATGCGTTAAAAACAAATTAAGTTAATTACTACTACCCTCACGCCTTCGCTTGCATCTAGTTATAAATAAAATAACATGATTTTAACTAAACGTGAAGAACTTACTGTAGCTATTTTGGGACAACGGACATATAGGACACATTTTACCCCAGTCAAAACCAATTAATTACTATATCCCGACTTTTAGTTATGTATTCGATTTCACTTGTTTATTACTAATTTAATTAGAGTGAACTAAGACCGTGTCAAGCTTTTGACAGATCTTTTAATCATCTCCACAATATGGCCGCCTCGTCTAGTGTTGCCATCGCACAAACATAACATTGATAAACATTATATATATTTAAATACGAGGTCTGATCAAAAAATAAATGTTATTTTAATTTTTTTCAATAAGTATTTATTTATTCATCAATAATTAAAAGGCAGGTCAGTTAGGCCACCGTGATGAATATATCTGGAATAGGGGGAAAGGGATTGTTAGTAATGCAGACTGAGAATCCCATTGCTAGCAATATACCCAACCAACTCGACCTCCTCGCGTTCTCCCTGGAAACTATCATGGTTAATTCCGGATGAATTCATCATGATGGGCTAACTGGCCTGTTTTCATTCTCATCTTGTCCCCTTCAAAGTAATCTCCCCCCAGATATAATACACTTATGCCAGCGTTTTTTCCAATCCTCGAAACACTTCTAAAACGCGCTTTTTGGTATCGCAAACGGTAGGAGCCGAACGATATGCCAACATTATCAGCAACCTCTCTGATAGTGATTCGACGATTATTCAAAATCATTTTCTTCACTGCTTCAATGTTTTCATCGGTTGTGGACGTACTCGGGCGACCAGGACGAGCATCGTCATTGACATCTTCTCGGCCTTCCTTAAACCGGTTATACCACGATTGAATTTGTGTTCTGCTCATAGCAAACTCGCCAAACGCCACAGTTAACATTTTAAATGTCCTTGCGCATTTAATATCATTTTTTACACAAAACTTAACACAGTTTCTTTGATCCATTTTTTCGAATAGCAAAAAATCGAAGAGCACACCAAAACACGACTAACCTTTTTATCTGTCAAAAACAAACTGACAATCTAAAATGGCTGATATTGCCAACATATATAACAGACATGTGTACCAACATAACAGAAAAAAAAATGCGAAAATCGAACATACGTAACTTACGAAATTTGAAAATAACGGTTATTTTTTTATCAGACTTCGTATAACACCGACGACAAGGCGAAGGTATAAAATAGTAGACATATTTAAAGAACAACAGAGAGTCAGCAGTCTTCACAATCAGCACACATTCGTCGACTACATAATGGACACATCCTCAGATCTCGTAGAAAAGAAAATCCTGAAATAAAGAGAAAACATCACAATATTAGTGGTACAGCAGAAACGCACAGTAAAAGATTCCAAACGAGTAGGTATGTAATATTTTTTTTTCCGGATTATAATGAAATGGTAGCGCAGGCGCTAACGGTATACGCTAGCGGGGCACCTGTGGGGGATGATAGGTGAGGATGAAAAGGCAGGTCTGTTAGGCCACCGTGATGAATATATCTGGAATGGGGGGAAAGTTATTCATTTTAGATATTTTTTCAGATTTTCTAAATCAATTTAGAACTGACGGAGTTATAAGGTAACAACTATAAAAAAATATAACTAAATTGAGAAACAACCTTTTTCGTTTTTTTTATGGGTGAAAATGGTATGGTAACCCCGCCCGCGCTAACGGGATACGTTGGCAGAGCACCAGTGAAGAGTGATAGATGAGAATGAAAACAGGCCAGTTAGCCCATCATGATGAATTCATCAGGAATTAACCATGATAGTTACCAGGGGGAACCGCGAGGAGGTCGACCTGGTTGGGTATATTGCTAGCAATGGGATTCTCAGTCTCCATTACTAACAATCCCTTTCCCCCCACCTCTTTTGTTTTGAACACTGTCGAAAATAGTTTTTTTTTTTTTCTCTTGGAGGCAAATCTAACTGAATCGCTATTAAACACCAATGTCAAATTTGACGCCATCTTTTACTGACGCGTCGTTTCTGTTGCGTCCTTCTTAGACCTAGCTCCTCTAAGCCCCACCAGCCCAAGTCGCCACCCGTTCTAAGCTTTTACTGGTTGCTACACTCCAATAAGACTACGTATAAACGTTACTCACTATTAGAAAACAGGCTCCTATAACAGCTGCCTTGTAGCGCACGTCCAAGTCGAGGGGGAAGTGAATCTCGTAGGAGTCTATGTCGGTCAACAGCTCCTGCAGCATTCCGTTCCACTTCTTCCTGATTACTCCGATCTGCCTCTTGTCCAGTGTTAAAATCTGCAACAATGGTATACATTCCTTTAAAAATTGGAGCTATCTTTACGATGTATAACCCGTCTTTGCATAATGTTGGAAACCATCATAACATTGAATGCCCAAAATTTATTTAAAAGAACATGTTCACTTTAAGTTGATCGTGTCTGGGTACCTTTTTAATGTCCATTGCAGAAAAAAAAACGTAGCTGTCAAATTTATTTTTTAACCATTTTCCTTTAATTTTGAACATGAACTATATCACCTTGATTTATTTCACCAATAAAAAAATAATGCAAAGAAGGGTTAAATAATACATTAAGCTTGATTTTGAGTTTCACTTTAGTCGCATCTCCAAGACGTCATTTTTGTCGCTAGAGGAAGTCTGTACAAAGATACATTCAAGCCCCTCTTTCACTATGAAGACGGAATTGTTATTCGTCTATTCCTAGTAAACTCATCAAGACAGAAATGACTTCATCTTCACTTATCAATACTCATCAGCTACAACGTTGCCAGCTTATGAAGTTTTTTTTTATTTGATGGGTGAAAATGGTATGGTAACCCCGCCTGCGCTAACGGGATACACTGGCGGAGCACCAGTGAAGGGTGATAGATGAGAATGAAAACAGGCCAGTTAGCCCATCATGATGAATTCATCAGGAATTAACCATGATAGTTTCAAGGCAGAACCACGAGGAGATCGACCTGGTTGGGTATATTGCTAGCAATGGGATTCTCAGTCTCCATTACTAACAATCCTTTTCCCCCCACAAGCTTATAAAGTTATACAATAATATGTGGCTAGTAGTTAGTTACAGTGTCACTTCACTCCTCACAGCGACAGTCATCCCACTCATGTTCTCCATCTCAATGCTGTCCCCTCCCAAAACTATCATAATTAATTTGTAGTGAATTCATTACGTAGAACCCGAAACGAGGATATCCGCAAAAGAACCAAAATAACCGACCGTGAAGCAATTGTGTTTGCATGGCTGTGTTTCGGTTTGGAGGGTGGGATATGGCGTGAATTTACAGGGTACAGAGGAATAACACTTGAGTCCTCAGGAATGGCAACGCAAGGGGGGTATCATGGGCGAAACAAACAGTATACTCTGTTATGTCCATGGTACTGCTCATGTCTATAGGCGACAGTTACCACTTTCCATCAGGTGGGCCGTCAGTTTGTTTGCCTTTCTAAATTGAATAAAAAAAAACCGACATAGCCCAAAGGATAAGCATGCTGAAGTGGCAATGGATTTGTCACATAGCGCGAAGAACCGACTACCGATGGGGTATAAAGGTTCTTGAGTGGCGACCACGTACGGAGAAAGGCAGTATAGGACGACCTCCCACTAGACGGAGTGACGACCTGAAATGCGTTGCAACGAGTCAGTGGATGCAGGTGGCTCAGGACCGTTCTTTAGGACAGTCTATGGGGGAGGCTTATGTCCAGCAGTGGACAAATAATGGCTGATATGATGATGATGATGAATTCATCACAATGAGCCGCCTGACCCGAGTGCACCCTCACCTATCTTCATTCATTGGTGCCCTGTCATCTTCACGTCATTAAAAAACCTCCAATAGGAGTGGAATTCGAAGAAAAAGAAGGTACATACGTCAAAATCACAGATGCCGGTGCGGCCGATAGGTCCCTTGATCTTGAGCACGGGCCGGTCGACGGCATCGTTAATGGTGAGCACAGGTTTCAGGAAGGTGGATTTCTGCCGCACCACGCAAGCCAGCGTCCCGCAAACAGACACGTCCATCTTGTCCGGTCCGAACGTGAATGGACGGCGAAGGGTGATCACCTGTAAATTTTGGTCTTTTTTTTTATATGGATGACATGAAATGGTAACCTCTTGTAACCTCCATTGGTTTACGCTAACAGGATACCTGGGAGCCGGGTCGATCGTGCCCATACTAAATTTATCTGATGAGTATCTCGGAATTCAAAAATGCCTTTCTGCTATTTTTTTTTATACAACTTAGAATGGCAAACAAGCTGACGGCCCACCTGATGGAAAGTGGTAACCGTCGCCTATAGACATGAGCAATACCATGGACATAACAGAGTATACTGTTTCGCCCATGATACCCCCCATGCGTTGCCATTCCTGAGGACTCAGGTGTTATTCCTCTGTACCCTGTAAATTCACGCCATATCCCACCCTATAAACCGAAACACAGCCATGCAAACACAACTGCTTCACGATTAAAACACGAATGAGACAGAGGTACCCAAGCAATCGACTTTTGTACAAAGTCTCCCTCTGGTAATCTAATGCGAACTACCAGTCCATTGATAGCCTGTCAAGTGGACCTTCACATGGTTCCCCTTGGAAACCATAGTTGAATTCCAGGTGTATTGACTAACTGACTTGACTTTTTATCCCTCACTGGTGCCCCGCAAGTATATACCCTTAGACAGTGGCGTAACAATAGGGTGGCAGGGCTGGCAAAATGCCACGAGCCCCCGACCCAAAGTACCCCGGCTCAAAAGGCCGCAAGCTCAGATTTTTTTTACATTGTACCTGAGTATTTTATTTTTACTGATAGAACCCCATCAGGATTTGCCACAGGCCCCAAATGGTATAGTTACGCCACTGCCGTTAGAGCAGGTGGAATTACCATTCCTATATCATCCATTAAAAAAAAATTATATCTATATAATATGATATCTATGATCGTACATGGTATTCGAATAATAAAATATCGATCTTTCTGGACACTTCACCATTGAACAATGTCGTATGTTCCATAACGAAATATTTAAAAAACAAAAACAAAGACTATCAAGATTATTGTTTTGTTTGTTTTGTTGTTTGTTATTACTTTTATAGCAGTATTTCTCTTTCTAGCCCAAATTGTTGTTGATTCGCAAAGAGGGTTTTTTTTATGGATGATAATGGAATGGTTACCCCGCCTGCGCTATCGGTATACACTAGCGGGGCACCAGTGAGGGATGATAGGTGAAGATGAAAGCAGGTCAGGCCTATCGTGACGAATCTCACAAGAATTAACCACGATGGTTTCCAGGGGGAACCACATAGAGGTCGACCTGATAGGATATATTGTTAATAATGAGGCTGTTAGATCCCATTATAAACAATCCCTTCCCCCTTCCCAAAGAGGGTTGACGTCAGGCAGGTGGCCGGTCGTAAAACTAGAAGCCAACACTTTTTGTAATATGGATAGGAAACATATTACGCCGACCCCAAATACTAATTGGGATAAGGGTAGAAAGATGATGTCTTCTCTTTCTATCAACGGACTTCAGAAAGAAACATGAGAGCCAGAAACATGAGTTACCATATTTATATCTTAATTATCATTAAACGAGCCATGCTGCTTTAAATCTAAATACTTTTCAATCGACTTCAAAAAAAAGGAAAAAAAAAGCAAGAAATTTAACATTTGTGTTACGACGAACAAAATCTATTTATATAAGCAAGTTTTTAATTAATTTATTTATTAATAAATTCAATATCAAATCATCTTTATTTTGTTGTTTACATTATATTATTTATTTACTTGTTTACAAGCACTTTTAAATCGTAATTTTTTATGTGTACACTCCCTCACCTCTTTGTTTTCCATATCAAATATGTCAATGTGAAAAGAGCGCTGGCTGCCGCCCAGCATTGCGTTGAGTACACTCGAATCCTCCTTCGCGTACAGCAGCTCGCTGCCATCAGGAGCTAGCACCTTGTACTTGTTCTTTATCAGCCTCGTCTTCTGTCGAACCAGTATATGATTCAACGCGATCAGATGTCTGATACCTGAAACATATTCACAACTAGCTAAGAATTAAATTATAGATATTAAATTATAGTACAGAGGCATTACACCTTTCTCAGGAATGGCTACATATGGCTACCACAGGGAGACTTTGTACAAAAGTCGATTGCTTGGGCACCTCTGTCCCATTCGTGTTTCAACCGTGAAGCAGTTGTGTTTGCACGGCTGTTTCGGTTTGAAGGGATGTGGCGTGAATTTACAGGGTACAGAGGAATAACACCTGAGTTCTCAGGAATGGCAACGCATGGGGGGTATCATGGGCGAAACAGTATACACTGTTATGTCTATGGTACTGCTCATGTCTATAGGCGACGGTTACCACTTTCCATCAGGTGGGCCGTCAGCTTGTTTGCCATTCTAAGTTGTATAAAAAAAATACTAAAAATCCCTTTCCCCCTAAAATTACTAAATACAAGAGTTAACAGAAGGCACACGAGTCATAAGACATTACAAGCGTCCATAGATAATAACGCCCGCTTACTATAAGGCGGGCCGTATGCTTGTTTATCACCGTTGTGCACAAATATTAACCCCAAACAAATTAAGTAGGTACTCACCTAGTGGTGGCAATTGTGATTCTGCCATAAGTATTGTTGAACGTTTAAAATCACTACAAATATATATAATGTAAACACTTCTCTGACATAAATAGGTATATAGATAAGGGATATTATTACTAATGCATTTAAGAATCCATTAAAGTTATTTAATATCTCATCACAATATATATTTATTACATTCCAAGAAACTTACTCTCAGGCACTCTGCTCTGATTGTAGAATAAATCATACAATTAATTCATAAATAATACTCATAGAAATAGTAAATAATTAAAAATATAAGTGTAACTAGTTTTCAGATATTAAATAAACAAGTACAATAAGCGATAAACATATAACGTATCGCCTTTCTAATATTATTGTATTTAAATATTAAGATTTCTTTTGTTAACGTAAGGTTTTATTCTACACATTGTTCAAGTTAATAACTGACATACTTCAATGCTAATTACAAAGCCAATTAATTATCTATACACACAGTACACTGCCACATTTTTTTATTTATAATAAACAGAAAAATATTTATTATTTAATTTAATAATATAAACATATATAATATCAAATATGATAATGGGTAAACACAAAATATACAAAAAATGTAAAATGCACTAGTACGCAGCGAGAACCATGTATTACTGTTTGGAATTACACTCGAGTGTAGTGAAGTGAGCCAAATATCAGTCCAGTGTGAAGTAAGCTGTAGTTCTAGGTGGGCGGGACGGACTATAACTATAAAATATAAACTTACGAACTTAATGTAATTGCAAGGTCATCCAAATATGATGCGAAATGCGACTACTCACAAAAACGATGGCGTGAAATTAAGTATAAGTTAATAATAATAAGTTAATACAGTGTTCAGCATATGATATCCGAATGTACAAAATACAAAACACAAAGGGAAGTATTGATACAAAAATATAGTCTCAATAGACAGGAGTTTGGTGTATTTTCAAATATACTCGCAGAACCATATTCCGGAATGGCAAAATCTTTAATTACTATATTTTTGTATCAATAATTTCCTTTATTAAAATAGACTACTAAGATATTATGTATTATTTATTTATGTATTTATGTTTTAAGTATGTGAGGTATTTTTTAAGATTAGGGTATGATGAGGCTGACATATCCTTTCGGGATAAAAGCCTCTAAATAAAAAAGATAAAAAAAAATCTTTGCCTTAGACACTCTTGTCTCTATGCCTATCCCGCAAGGGATTTAGCATTAAAATAGATAAATAGATTGGTAGTATTGTTAAAAAATGGTTGTATTTGTTTTTTTGTGTGTGGCAACATTATTTTATTTACCGCGTTTTTTGCTGCTTTTGTCGTTGTACCTACCTTTTTTTAATGCGTGTATAACCTTTCAATGTATTGAAAATAATTAAAAAAAAAATGTTTATTTATATTATTGAACGATTTGATTTTGTGAACGCCACAAAAGAAGAAGAAAAAAAAAACGATTTGATTTCCTAGTTCCCCATGACGTGTCCTCCCGTTCGACGAAATCTCTTATCCTCAAAATCATTCCTTCACACTCATCTACGCGCTATAGTGGATCTTTTACCGTCCATGCTGCTAGATTGTGGAATTCTCTTCCCATATCTATCCGTATATATATATATATATATATATATATATATATATATATATATATATATATATATATATATATATATATATATATATATATATATGTGTGTGTGTGTGTGTGTGTGTGTGTGTGTGTGTGTGTATGCGTGTATTTATACAATTAAATATAATGTTATTAGTTTAATTTTGACTAGTTTGCTTAAAAATTGTCACAATATTGTACACCGCTCTATCCGCTGACATTGATGCTCCTTTCCACTTTGGGTGTTGCTGGAAGAAAACTGTTAGAGTTAAGCTCGCCTTTGTACATTTGATTACCTCTGTCATATTCTTATAACTGGTGTGTACAATAAAGAATTAAATAAATAAATTCTAAACAAGTATTCCATACTCGACTAATTTAGTAAAGTTGTCCGTAGGTAAGCTCCTGTAAATGAGTATAAATTTATAACGTTTTTTTTTTATGGATGATAATGGAATGATAACCCCGCCCGCGCCATCGGTATACACTGGCGGGGCACCAGTGAGGGATGATTGGTGAGGATGAAAAGGTTGAATTCGTCACGATGGCTAACTGACCTGCAGTTAGCCATCGTGACGAATTCAACGATAAATTAGTCACGATGGTTTCAAGAGGGAACCGCGTGGTGATCGACCTGATAAGGCATATTGATAGCGATGGGGACTAACCTCCCCGTTACTAATAATTCCTTCCCCCCTTGAATTAATAATGATTGGTGTCCATGTGAAATCAAAAATAGTCGACTATGTTCACTGTACCGCGGGTACAAATAATGTACAATACAAACCATCAGGCATGTTTGTATCAGCAAATAGATTGAAAATAAACGGCTATTTATAACGCGTCCACAGATCCACATGGAATAGATGCCGCTACCGTAATTTTTTGCGTACTCGAAGTCTAGTTAAAATTCTCTCTGACTTCTTTTCAGTTGAAATCTTAATATTTTATTGTTCATTAGCTGTTGCCCGCGACTACGTCCGCCTTTCCGTTGTTTTTCCTAAATTAAGTAACCTATGTCCTTTCCCACGGTTCAGTGGTTTTGATGTAACAGACACATTTCCCTTAACTGCTTTGCTCCTATGGATCGTAGCGTGATGAAAAGTATACTATAACCTGCCCAGGAGTATGAAGAATAATTGTAGTAAGTTCCATTAAAATCCGTCGAGTAGTTTTTGCTTCTATAACGAACATACAGACGATAGATAGACAAAAATTTTATTGAATGCATTTTTGGCATCAGTATCGATCACTAATCACTTCCTGATAGTTATTTTGTAAATATATTTCATGTACAGAATTGACCTCTCTACAGATTTATTTTAAGTATAGATTATTTTAAGTACCTATAGATTAAAGTAAATATTTACTAATAAAATATTAGTACCGATTATAATTACATGTTAAAAATTCCTTCTAATTGGCATATCATTGTTAGCCAGATGTTGGTAAATAATTTAAATTTAATAAATAGTTCATCTCATACTACCTATCTCATCTATATGCATCGTATCTATGTGTAATAAACGAATTGCTAAATATTTCAACGCTTAAGCAATGAATACGAGTGTGCCTTAAGTGAATTTGACCATCAATTTTTCTATCGACTACTTCAAGGTATGATGTAAAGAGAGTTATGTACGATCAATCTAAAGAGGCATATATGTAGTATGTACTCTTAATAAAATATATGCAGTATAAGTCCGGATAATTTAATGTTCGGATAATCCGGAAATTGTACTGTACAAATTTTTTTTTATGGGTGATAATGGTATGGTAACCCCGCCTGCGCTAACGGGATACGCTGGCGGAGCACCAGTGAAGGGTGATAGATGAGAATGAAAACAGGCCAGTTAGCCCATCATGGTGAATTCATCAGGAATTTACCATGATAGTTTCCAGGGGGAACCGCGAGGAGGTTGACCTGGTTGGGTATATTGCTAGCAATGGGATTCTCAGTCTCCATCACTAATAATCCCTTTCCCCCCTGTAAAGAGAGTTATGTACGATCAATCTAAAGAGGCATATAGTATGTACTCTTAATAAAATATATGCAGAATAAGTCCGGATAATTGAATATTCGGATAATCCGGAAATTGTACTATACTCATATTAATAATAATATAATTTATACTAACAATCCCTTTCCCCCCAGCCGAAACAGTATACTCTGTTATGCCCATGGTACTGCTCATATCTATAGGCGACGGTTACCACTTTACATCAGGTGGGCCGTCAGCTTGTTTGCCATTCTAAGTTGTATAAAAAAAAAATCCCTCGCCCTCCCTTAGTCGCCTCTTACGACACCCACGGGAAAGGAAGGGGTGGCCTATTCTATACAGGGACCACACGACCACGATGATATGTACTCGTTCAAGAAACACCAGTTTATGTTCGTTGTCTGTCAATCAACTATAGTGTTTAATAATATAAATGTACGTATATTTTGATCTATTTTCAGTAGAAACTGGAATGACCTATCTTCGGCTTCTAACTAATGTTTCACTCACTCATGCAAATAATATAATAATTCAACGTCTAAAAATCCGATTGCATGACCAGTCCAACGTAAGTAGAGCCATCTATATTGGGGGGAAAAGATTGTTAGTAATGGGGTCAAATAGCCCCATTTACTAGCAATGTACCCTGTCAGGTCGACCTCCATTTGGTTCCCTATGGAAACCATCGTGGCTAATTCTAGTTGAATTCGTCAGGATGGGCTAACTGACCTGTTTTATCCTCATCTATCATCCTTCACTGGTGTCCCGCCGGTGCATACCGATAGCGCGGGCGGGGTTACCATTCCATTATCACCCATTAAAAAAAACACCTTAGGCGATACAGAAATCCATGGCATTGTTTGTATCTATGGTGACCGTTACTACTTTCCATCAGGTGGGCCATCAGCTTGTATGACGCATATAAATCTGTCTAAAAATAGTGGTAAATAAATATCTCGGGTGCCATTATGATGTCAGCCTTTAACTGTCCACTGCTGAATATAAGCCTCCCCCTTAGATGGTTTTGCTAGTAGTTACCACATTTGGCAAGCGGGTTGGCAACCGCAGTCAGGCTTTGGAGATATTTTGAGAGGGACGCTGCTGCCCATCCTTTGCCTTCTCTTGGTTGTCTTTTTTTTATACAACTTAGAATGGCAAACAAGCTGACGGTCCACCTGATGAAAAGTGGTAACCGTCGCATATAGACATGAGCAGTACCATGGACATAACAGAGTATACTGTTTCGCCCATGATACCCCCCATGCGTTGCCATTCCTGAGGACTCGGGTGTTATTCCTCTGTACCCAGTAAATTCACGCTCTCTTACAATACCCACGAGTAAGGAGTAGCCTATTCTATCCCGGGACCACACTGCCATCTAAGGTATACAGGATATCTCAGGTAAAAAGAAATAAAACCGGCAATTCTTTTTTATCGTATCCCCTTATTCATAAAAACTTCAATTCATTTACCTATTTAATTTATTGAACTCTTTTGTCCTTTTCTTGTGCGTTAAATTCTCAATTTGAAAGAGATTGACAGAACATTTCGAAAGCTATGTTTATAAGACGTTTCAGTTTTTATGAATAACAGGGTAAATGTTTATTATGAATCCTAGAAATTACAAATTAATCAGTCTAATTAAATGATAATAACATATTAATAACCGAGTATTACATCATGTTATTTAACTTTATGACTTCTCCCCGCTGGACGATGACTTGTCCTGTACAGGAATGGTCCTCTCCGTAACTGGTTCCGCTCTGAACGCTACCAACTTCAATTTACCCTTGTCGAAATGACACTCCACTCGTTCCGGGGGAAAACCTTCGGGGAGCAGGAACCGCCTCTCGAAGTTGCTCCTGGTCCAGCCGTCTTCGCGTTTAATCTCCTTTTTCCCCTCCACCATGATTTCATTGCCAACGGTCTTCACTTGAATCTGATCTGGGGTAAAATTCTGTACATCCAAATGCACTTCGACCTTTTTCCCGTCTACTTTCACCTCAGAATCGAAATAAATTCCTTCGATTCCATGATCGGACTCCAACGGCGCTGTCACTTGCCTTATGTATTTCACAGGGTCGCGGAAAAAGGGATCTCTCGCGAAAACTGCGAAGGGATCTTCGAAGACTCTGGCGATGGGATCCCTGTAGGCTAGATTCCTCAGATGTCTCAACCAATACGGCACCAGTGACATTTTTAAAGTTTCGTTTTGTATTCCACTTCGGGCTCAGTTGACGTCTCAACGCTGTTTTGTTTACTTGCAATGCGCAGTGCGCACCTCCGCCTTTATATACCATCGATTGGAGCGCGATCTGGTGTCGAGAATCTTCGGAAATGTTCCTTACAATTCTAGCAATCTCTCTGTACATTTACAATGAAAAGAGACATCTAGTGTAACTAATTGTAATTACTTTCAAACAGATAAATGTTTATTTTGTTTACTTTTAAATATAGTACATTAAAAAGTCGATATAAAATGACATTTAATTATATAAAAATAGATTTTTTCATATTCCATTAAATTAAAAATATTTTCATTTATAGAAAAAAAAACAATCAGCGCCCTCTACTAACGAATAGTGAAAACTGTATTAAAGTTATTACTAGCACATTTTAGAAAACGTTAGAGTTTTCAAGAAAACTTAACTAAAACAATATAACTATTAATAATAAATTACCAAATGTGTTTGGTCTATGTGAATTCTATTAATATAGACTTACAATGACATTATATTTTTATATTTGAGCTACCTCCGTAATGGGCAACTCTTGTTAAATATTGCGCAATATAAGATTGGCTGATGAAATGTTTATTTCCAATTTCAGGCCATTTCGTAATCACAAACACATAATGTATCCAGGATATAATTTTATTAATAGTTCATTATTTATTGTTTTAGCTACTAACTAGCCGGGCCAACGTTGTTTTGTCTATTTTAAACCAACGTCAATAAGGACGCTTTCAATTCGGTTATATTTTTATATTTGTTACGTCATAACTCCGTCAGTTGTAAGCTAATTTACCTGAGGGAGACTTTGTACAAAAGTCGTTTGCTTGGGTACCTCTGTCCCATTCGTGTTTCAACTGTAAAGCAGTTGTGTTTGCATGGCTGTGTTACAGTTTGAAGGGTGCGATATAGCGTTAATTTACTGGGTACAAAGGAATAATACCTGAGTCCTCAGGAATGGCAACGCATGGGGGGTATCATGGGCTAAACAGTACACTCTGTTGTGTCCATGGTACTGCTCATGTCTATAGGCGACGGTTACCACTTTCCATCAGGTGGACCGTCAGCTCGTTTGCCATTCTAAGTTGCATAAAAAAAAATTGGATAATCATTTTTTTTATCTGAAAAGATATGCTTACAGATTGTTCCCATAGAAATTTTATTAAAACGGGTTAAGTCATAATTAAACAATTTTGAAAAAGAAATAGTTTTTAAATCAAAATGACTGGTTTTGCCACAATTAAAATCGTTTTTTTTTTTTTATGGAACACAATTTAATCGTAAATAAATTACTCATTTTGTAAAAATGTTTCAACCGAGACTTAAACCCCTCTATCATTACTATTCCACTTGCATCACACGTAGTATTTATTTAAAAATTTATATTGATCACGGCACAAACATGAACAATGATGTAAATGTATGAACAACCGTTTAACCTCATTCACATGGGAATACAAAGTGCGTCAGTGAAGAGATTACATCCATTTTTTTACCAGTTTTGATTACAGTGTTTGCAAAACAAACAAGTCCTATAACAAATAATATGTAAGCTGATGTTCCATATCCAGATGACTCATGACTATTTGCGGTGTTTACATGAACACGCACTCTGGTGGAGTATTGCTGGAACTAGTTGGTAAACAAGCCGGGAGCCAAACTAATGCAGTGAGGGGAGAAAGGGATTGCTAGTAATAAGGTCTTATAGCTCCATTACTAGCAATAGGCCCTCTGAGGTCGACCTCCACGCGGTTCCCCCTGGAAACCATCATGTTATTTCTTGTCGATATCATCACGATGGGTTGACTGACCTGCTTCATCTTCACCTATCATACTTCACTGGTGCTCCGCCAGCGTATTCCGTTAGCGCAAGTTACCATTCCATTTTTACCCATCAAAAAAAAAACTAATGTAGTGATAATCGCAGTGCAATGTATTCAAACAAAGGATATTTATATAGAAATCGTATGCACAAATGTCCACTTTACAATGTCCACATAACTTTGCTTGTATGCGGAGTCTTAAAACCATTGTCCTCAGGAATGGCAAGGTATGAGACGTGCTATGCATATCACAGAGTACACTGTACTACAGAGATAGTAGGCGACCGTTACCACATTCCATCAGGTAGTCCAGCAGATTATCTGCTGGTTAACTGTTCACTGCTAAACATAGACCTCCCCTTATTGGGATTTTGCTAGTAGTTGCCATGCTTGGCAAGTGGATTGGCAACCACAATTAGGCTTTAATGATGTTTAAAAATCCTCGCTCTCCCTTAATCGCTTATTACGATAGATAGATACTCTTTATTGTTTCCTCCAAAAGATGACAATAGTAAACTTATTATAAATACAAACAATTACAAGAAATAATCACAATGAGAGAACAATGGGCGACCTTATCGCTAAGAGCGATCTCTTCCAGCCAACCTTTGGATGGAGAGGAGTAATTATAAACGATACCCACTTGAAAGGAAAAGACCGCTCTATGCTGGGACCACACGGCGCTATTCTAAGTATCATGGAAGAATTAAGAGAGCCAGGCTTAACCACGATAGTTACCAGGAAGACAGAACCTCGAGCAGGTCGACCGACAGGATATATTACTGCCAATGAGGCTGGTACACCCATTACTGGGGGAAAAAGGATTGTTAGCAATAGAGTTTGACAGCCCCATTGCTAGCAATATGCCCTATTAGGTCGAGCTCCACGTGGTACCCCCTGGAAAATATCGTTAGCAATTCTTGTTGAATTCGTCACGACGGGCTAACTGACCTGCTTCATCCTCACCTATTATTCTTCACTGGTGCCCCCCCGGTATATACCGATAGCGCGGGTGGGGTTGCCATAACATTATCATAAAAAAAACAGAGCTCTGTTTCGCCTATGATACCCCAAGCAAACGACTTGTATAGTCTCCCTGCGGTTTAAATATTATATACATATTGTTAGCAACGGGGCTGTCAAACTCCATTGATAACAATCCCTTCCCCCCACCCCCACCCCTCCCAGTGTACTCTGTTATGTCCATGGTACTGCTCATGTCTAAGCGGTTATCGCTTTCCATCAGGTGGGCTGTCAGCTCGTTTGCCATTCTAAGTTGCATTAAAAAAACAAATTGAAATATCTTTAAACACACAATTCTATCTGGATTACCGTTAAGAATATATTGAAAGCCGAGCGTCTTCAACAAATACATTTATTTATACAAATAATTTGAACAAAAATATTATATAAATATAACAAATATGTTCAAATAATTAGAAAAGTGCGAAGCGCGTCAGTAGCACGTACAACGCGGTAGTGGTGGGCTGATTTCGAATTATATATAACGCATCGTTTACTGTAAACTTTATTATAAAAAAAATTGGTGAAGTGAAAACAAGATTTCAATAACAATGGCGTGCGTGAAGATTGTATCGCTCGTGCTGGTGATAGTGGCTTGCGCCAGTGCTAAACCCAAACCTTTGGATAGTTCAGAACACATTGGTACGTTGCAATGTTAGTTTTAATTAAAGAATACTATAATATAACAGAGAATGCGCCGCCCCTTCCTTTTTTTGGGGGGAACGGAATTGTTAGTAATGGGGGCAGATAAGCACCATTATTAGCAATGTACCCTGTCAGATCGACCTTCACGTGGTTCCCTGGAAACCATCATGGCTAATTCTAGTTGAATTCGTCAGGGCTAACTGACCTGCTTTCATCCTCATCAGTCATCTGTCACTGGCGCATGGCTAGACATTTTTAACATTTCCCTTCACTGCTCTGCACCTATTGATCGTAGCGTGATGAAAAGTATACGATTGCAAAAATTCTTACCATTTAAGACAAGGCTTACTTTGGCACAAGCTCTACTGTTATCTCTTCTTGATTATGCCGACATATCCTACCTTGATGCAACTGAAGAGCTTTTAAACAAATTAGAGAGATTACAGAATTTGTGTATACGTTTCATATATGGTCTGCGTAAATATGATCATGTCTCCGCTTATAGAACAAAATTGAATTGGCTGCCAATTCGAAGGCGTCGAGACTTTCATATAATGTCGTTTTTATATTCCGTTCTATATAACCCTACTTTTCCCTCCTATCTTCGTGAACGTTTTGATTTCCTAGTTCCCCATGACGTGTCCTCCCGTTCGACGAAATCTCTTATCCTCAAACTCCCTTCACACTCATCTACGCGCTATAGTGGATCTTTTACCGTCCATGCTGCTAGATTGTGGAATTCTCTTCCCATATCTATCCGTGAGAGTCAATCCCTAAATATTTTTAAGAGTAGACTTAAAGAGCATCTTCTATCTCTATGAACATATATTTATTTATCTATATGTGTAGGTATATTGTATGTATATGTGTATGTATATGTAGGTTTATGCATAGATGTAGGTATATATTTATGTATATGTATGTGTGTATTTGTACTATATAATATAATCTAATTAATTTAATTTTGGCTATTTAAAAATTGTACACTGCTGTATCCGCTGACATTGATGCTCCTTTCCACTTTGGGTGTTGCTGGAAGAAAACTCTATCAGAGTTAAGCTCGCCTTTGTACTTTTGTTTACCTCTGTCATATTTTTATAACTAATGTGTACAATAAAGTATTAAATAAATAAATAAATAAATAACCTGTCCAGGAGTATGAAGAATAATTGTACCAAGTTTCGTTAAAATCCGTCGAGTGGTTTTTGTTTATATGACGAATATACAGACAGACAAAAATTGTACTGATTGCATTTTTGACATCAGTATCGATCACTAATCACCCGCTGATAGTTATTTTGTAAATATATTTCATGTACAGAATTGACCTCTCCACAGATTTATTATATGTATATTAAATAAGTATTGATAATTTAATATTGATTAATTAAGTATTGATTGATTATATAGATGTGAAAATGTTCTTTTTATTATTACTAAAATATTTTTTTTTATACAACTTAGAATGGCAAACAAGCTGACGGCCCACCTGATGGAAAGTGGTAACCGTCGCCTATAGACATGAGCAGTATCATGGACATAACAGAGTATACTGTTTCGCCCATGATACCCCGCATGCGTTGCCATTCCTGAGGACTCAGGTGTTATTCCTCTGTACCCAGTAAATTCACGCCATATCCCACCCTTCAAACTGAAACACAGCCATGCAAACACAATTGCTTCACGGTTGAAACACGAATGGGACAGAGGTACCTTTTATAGAGGTATAATTTGCTTCTCATAATGTTACGATAACTGTTTACATACGTATCGTTCACGAACTAACAATTTACTTCCAGAGTCAATGAACACGTTTTATAAAGTGCATAACGTGCAGAAGAGGTTCATCAACCCGTCGTTGACATCTGGCAGCTTCGACGACGGTGGATACGCCAAGATGAGGACCAAACGAAGGTTACAATAGAATGCAACCAATTAATCATTTTTATTCACATACGTCTGTTACAGATTCTTATGATACGTCACTTTATAATTATAATAATTAATATGTAAAATAATATTAATTTAAAAAAAATACAATAATTACATTTACTTCATTCATCAGAGGGAGACTTTGTACAAAAGTCGATTGCTTGAGTACCTCTGTCCCATTCGTGTTTCAATCGTGAAGCAGTTGTGTTTGCATGGCTGTGTTTCGGTTCGAAGGGTGGGATATGGCGTGAATTTACTGGGTACAGAGGAATAACACCTGAGTCCTCAGGAATGGCAACGCATGGGGGGTATCGTGGGCGAAACAGTATACTCTGTTATGTCCATGGTACTGCTCATGTCTATAGGCGACGGTTACCACTTCCCATCAGGTGGGCCGTCAGCTAAGTACACAGTTAAAGTTGTATTGTAAAAATAAAATTACAATACAATTCACATTAATACAATATACAACAAGGAGATATGCATCAAGGAGGAACATAATTTTAAACAGTCTTTCGACAAACTGACATGAAAGAAATATGAATGTGGAACCAATACGGTAGTAAACCCAGTGACAGCTTTAAGGATGGGGGGGGGGGGGGGGTATCGATTTATTTACTAGTATTAAAATTGACTTTATATTCCTCCCGTACAAAACACCAATTTCATATTAATACTAGCTGACCCCGTAAACGTTGTTTTACCACTTATTGCGAAATATAAAAATCGCGATTAAAATACTGGGGTTGATCGTAAAACGATGAAAATTTAAAGTTGTATGTATTTTTCAATGCTAAATCATATTAAAATAAAAATAAAAATAAAAAAAATTGTTAAAAAAAATAAAAAAAAATTTTTTAGGGGTGGGTCACCCTTACATTAAAAATATTACATTAATTACCCAATATGCACACAAAATTTCATGAAAATCGGTAAAGCCGTTTCGGAGGAGTTTGGTAACAAACACCGCGACACGAGAATTTTATATATTAGATTATGTTTGTTACAGTGAGAAGGACTGTGAGAAGCTAGCGCTGTGCAAGTTACACGCGCGCTCCGGACGTAGCTTCTTCGCCACGTACGCACTCTACTTCGTCAAGTGAGTTCGATATCATCAAGTGAATCATAAAGAATTAGGTCATAAACAATTCAAACAAACCCTGTCGAAGTGGCTCTTACAAAAGTGTTTCTACGCGGTAAGAGAATTTATTGATTATAAATGTGACAATATTGAAACATTGGGGGGAAAGGGATTATTAGCAATGGAGTTTTATAGCCCCATTGCTAGCAATATGCCCTGTTAGGTCGACCTTCACGTGGTTCCCCCTGGAAACCATCGTGAACAATTCTTGTTGAATTCGTCACGATGGGCTAACTGACCTGCTTCATCCTCACCTATCATACTTCACTGGTGCCCCGCCGGTGTATACCGATAGCGCGGGTGGGGTTACCATTACATTATCACCCATTAAAAAAAAAAAAATATTGGAACATTACACTTGACTGTCTACTGGTGGAACATAGGCCTTCCTTATAAAATTTTTTTTTTTTTTTTATGGATGACAATATAACGGTAACCCCGCCTGCGCTAACGGTGTTTGTTTCAGCAAACTTATGTTTGTTTCAGCAAAGAGAATGCAAAGCTATGGGACCACCAGCCACGCACCCTCGCGGACTGCGAGCGGCGGTACAGATGTTACGATAGATAAACGGTGCGCGCGCGCGCCCTCTAACGCAGGTTGCTGTTTTCGAACTGAGATATAAGAAAGCATATTGGAAGACGTCTCGCTTATATAGTATTATAGCTTTTAAGAAATGCTCGTTCAAGTCCAAGATACGTTCGTTTTTCTATACATGGCACAAATAGTAAATAATCTTGGCATCTCTTTATCAAATATACAAAAAAAATATGCCATTTCTATTTAATTATTTATTATGCAACTTAGAATTGCAAACAAGCTGACGGCCCACCTGATGAAAAGTGATAACCGTCGTCTATAGACATGAGCGGTACCATGGGCATAACAGAGTATACAATCATAGTCGTAGAATACTGACGGATCTATATATGTATTGTTTGTCAGATCCCTCAGTATTTTTTTTTATATACAACTTAGAATGGCAAACAAGCTGATGGTCCACCTGATGGAAAGTGGTAACCGTCGCCTATAGACATGAGCAGTACCATTATATACCTATACCCCCCATGCGTTGCCATTCCTGAGGACTCAGATGTTATTCCTCTGTACCCTGTAAATTCACGCCATATCCCACCCTTCAAACCGAAACACAGCCATGCAGACACAGCTGCTTCACGGTTGAAACACAAATGGGACAGGGGTACCCAAGCAATCGACTTTTGTACGACTATGACGACATGTTCAAGAATATTTATTTTTTTATATAATTAAACAACAATAAACAACATACCATTTTATTCTCACCCTTAAATAAGACAGAAATAAATCACACATCTCCACATAATGTAAATGCAATTCATAAATAAAAAACAACAAAACATCTATGTAATAAATTAATCGATCCACTTATGTACCGCAACTTTATATAATAAAAAAAAATCATTGGAAATAAATTGTAAAATAAATTACTATTTGATGTATATTTTTTAAATAAATTATATTTTATTATGAGGGTATTTAAAAATAATATTGTATATAATTAACAATAGTTTAATTCATTACTTCACCTGGGAATTAGGAATATGTATTAAAAAAACAAATACCTACATAATAATTAATTCACTCTTGCGCCACCTGCCCACTTCTATCAACTCCTTTACCCAAAGGTCGTCTGTAAGAGATTGCCCTAGCGATAAGACCGCCTTTTGTACTTTTATGTGTATATTTCAATCTGTATTTATGTTACTGTATTTCACTTGAATTATTCACTTGTCATTGTATATTTTTATTTATGGTGCAATAAAAAGTTAAATAAATAAATAATTCACATTTATAGATATTTTATGACCTGAATAAAATTCATTACAATTTATGTACTTACTTGAATTGTTCAATTTAATTTAATCTAGTGACTTTTTTAATAATTAAATAGCATTTCATAATTCATAATTATACTAATAAATTTATTTAAAACAGAATAAATTATTTTCAGTATAATCACAATTATAAAAAAAAAAAACTTCATAACATTACACTTGAATGCTATTTATTTTTATGTAAAAAAGAAATTTGTTCAAATTTATTAAAATATTATTATTGTTTGATTAAATGACTGTTTTTTTAACCTTCATATTTTATTTTAATTAATCTATATATTTCACAATATTCCAAAATAAATATCATGAAAAATACCAGTACAATACCATTGGCATGTATTTAAGGTTTTTAAGAAATATTTTAGTAACAAAATTAATACAAAATAGTTCTTTTCTCAAACATGCTTGGAAATGTGAGCATTATTTTGACAATCTTCTTCGAGATAAATCAAACTTGCCGTACTGGCCAGATACATGCGGGCACTCACGTATGTGTGCCTCGGCTACACCTCGGCCCACATTTGCACGTTCGTCCATCAATGCCTCAGTTGCTAACCGCTGCAGTAATGTACTATTACAGATGTCGACATCACAAAATCAAATTGAAACGAATAATATTAAATTTAATAAGTACAATAGTACTGACTGGTTTAAACAATTATTTTTCAGTGATATAGAATGGGAAACATGCTGACAGTACACTAGAATTGGGTACATGCAGATTGTCTACGTTAACATATCACGTCCCTCCAACTTCTTGATTACAATGTGTGACCATATACTGTTGTGGTACTCTATTTATGTTTGTGCTGGAACATCTTTAGTGGTGATCTGGTCAGAAGGGTATTATATTCCTTGGTTGAAGCCTTATAAATATTTTTACTGACATTTTTAATTTTTTGGATTTTGGAGGAACTGGAACCCCCCCCCCCCCAATTTATGTTCAGCAGTGGACATTTAACGGCTGATATGACGATAATGATGCCATGTTATCATAGACAATTTATAATCACAGTTACAATAAAATTAGACGAATCGAGAAATTGCTTTCGGTAGTCGCTTAATAGTACCCTCGTAACATAACAGCAAAGGGAAGGGAGCGACAGAGTTACACGAACTTCTTCTTGGCGGTCCTCCTGCCGGCGGCGTTGACGGAGGAGACGATGTGGTGGATGCTGGCGCGGTCCAGCAGGTCGGGCCGCGCGGGCCGCTCGGGCCGCTCGTGCCGCTCGGGCCGCTGCGGGCGGACCAGCCCGGCCGCCAGGCGCAGCAGCTGGCCGCGCCGCCAGTAGCCCAGCAGCAGCAGCGCCGCCAGCGGCACGGCCAGCAGCGAGCTCTGCCGCAGCTCCTGCTCCGAGCTCTTCACCTGCACGCGGTGCACACGCGCCACATGTACATTACCAGTACCATTGCTAGCAATATCCTTTGTCAGGTCAACCTTCACGTGGTCCACCTGGATACTATCGTGCTGAATTTCAGGTGTATTTTTTTTTATGAGTGAAAATGATATGGTAGCCCCGTCTGCGGTAAAGGGATGCGCTGGCGGAGCACCAGTGAAGGGTGATAGATGAGAATGAAAACAGGCCAGTTAGCCCATCATGATGAACTTATCAGGAATTAACCATGATAGTTTTCAGGGAGAACTGCGAGGAGATCGAGCTGGTTGAGTATATCGCTAGCATTCTCAGTCTCTATTAGTAACAATTCCTTTCCCCCCCAGAAATGTGGTGTTATACCACCATACCCAGTAATTTCACTACCATATCGCATTCTCCAAACTGTATAAAAATAAACTGTCTGTAGAAAATAAATTGAATAATCAAATTGCAAACCTTCGGCAAGAACTCAATGTAGAAATGCTTGAAGCGTCCGTCAGAGACGAAGTAGTGTACTTGATCGTCGTAGTGATGCGTGGCCTTGGAGAGCGTGGAGTCTAGGTGGAGGGTGTAGGTGGCGTTGTCGGCGAGCAGGCGGGGCAGGGCGACCAGCAGCCCGGGGTTGAGGTGGTGCGACAGGCCGGCGGGGTCGAGGCGCGCGGCCAGCAGGCTGGTGGCGGGCGCGGCCAGCGCCACCAGCCGCAGCCGCAGCGTGCGGTAGTGCTCCACCAGCGGCGTGTACACCACCACGCTCGCGTCCGTCGCCTGCTGCCGCTGGTGGGCTATCAGCACCACGTTCTCTATGTCCTTGTTGTCTTTTATCTGTAATTTTTTTTTTACAACTAAGAATGGCAAACAAGCTGACGGCCCACCTGATGGAAAGTGGTAACCGTCGCCTATACACATGAGCAGTATGGGCGAAACAGTAACAGAGTATACTGTTTCGCCCATGATACGCCCCATGCGTTGCCATGCCTGAGGACTCAGGTGTTATTCCTCTGTACCCAGTAAATTTATATGTATGTTATTTATATATTTCCTATTTCATATTAATATTGCTTTTTTATGTGCTCAGCACATTGCATCGTCCATAATATTTTCTGTTACTCCTGTCTACGGTGGACTAGTATATAACTCCATATGGTATTAAGCCAAGATATATAAATATGAGAAATTTGACCAACCTCGATAGTGGGTGGCGCCTTAACCAGCTTCAGTCCAGCCAACTCTGGATTCGAGGATTCCTTCAGTTCAATGGTGTACACACAGCCAGGCACTAGACCGCGGATTCTGTGGATTTATAAAATGTATCGTCAAACATACTGCTGTTAATGTTACGAGTGTTTTGTCAATAGATGACAATGATTACTTGGAAAATGTAAAGTAAAACAAACATATCTTTCTTAACCTATGAATTAAAATAGGATTGTGACTTAATAAATGCAGTGACATCAGTCATAAAATTACATAATAGTACATTACTGCAGCGGCCAGCAACTGAGGCATTGATGGACGAACGTGCAAATGTGAGCCGAGGCGTAGCCGAGGCACACATACGTGAGTCCATTAATGCCCAGTTGTGGCCAAGGCTTGTATAGTACTTTTCTCAAACAATGTGTGGAAATTAAAAACACAATTTTACTTTTTAAGTTCAATGACGAATAACGAACAATATTAATTTTTCACGCGCCATAATATTCCTTTGTTTTTTTTTTCCAATAAACAGTTTTTTATTTGCAGGCCAGTTCAAAATTTAAATAAAACCTTTCATTAGTTACCTCCTTGGTAGCCATGTTTCGAAGTAAAAGATCAATCCATTTTTAAATTACAGGACAGATATGTGTTTACATAGTAATTTATCTGGCCGCAAAACACGACAGATATAGATTTTCATACAACTTTTGCCGGCCGCTGCCCGCGTGTATCTGGCCAGTACGGCAATTTTGATTTATCTCGAAGAAGATTATCAAAATAATGCTCACATTTCCAAGCATGTTTGAGAAAATAAAATATAAATTTTCCATGAAAAAGAAATTATACAATATAATAAATAGGATTAAGTATTAAAAGGACCCCCGTTAACTTCGTAGAGTTATACTAGTTACCCGCCTCCTCCACCACTAAATATCACCTTGCACCGTTATAAACATTATCCCCGTATTGTGATAAACGTTACCCCCGCGTTGTGGTCAACGTTACCCGTGTTGTGGTGAGCTTTATCCCGTGTTGTGGCTAGCGGTACCTCGTCTTGTGGCGAGCGGTACCCCGTGTTGTGGTGAGCGGTACTCCTAGTTGTGGCGAGCGGTACACCGTGTTATGGCGAGCTGTACCCCATGTTGTGGCGAGCGGTACCCTGTGTAGTGGCGAGCGTTACCTGAAGGCGCCGTCGCTGTCGGTGAGCGCGCCCTCTGCCGGGCAGTCGCCGGAAGCGCGTGCGCGCAGCTCGACGGCCGGCCAGCCCGCGCCGCCCGCCGCCGCCAGCCGGCCCGCGCACGACCACGCCACGCGCCGCGCCCTGCCACGGACGGCTCATCACAAACACATTCAGACAACACAACGGCCAGTTTGTTTGTTATAATTTACTTAAATTAAGTTAGAAAATGAGCGGTCAACACACTCTAACCTATCCCATCCGATATTTTTGGATAGGACTGTCCATTTTACTAGCAATCGTCTCCAACGGGGGGAAATGGGATTGTTAATAATGGAGACTGAGAATCCCATTGCTAGCAATATACCCAACCAGGTCGCTCTCCTCACGGTTCTCCCTGAGAACTATTATGGTTAATTCCTGATGAATTCATCATGATGGGCTAACTGGCCTGTTTTCATTCTCATCTATCACCCTTGACTGGTGCTCCGCCAGCGTATCCCGTTAACGCAGACGGCGCTACCATACCATTTTCACCCATCAAAAAAAAAGTCTCCAGAACACTGTTAAAGCTAACACTGACTCTGCCTAATAGTGAAACGAATCGTTTGCGCTGTATTACGTAAAATTCGTCAATACGCTCTCGTGCAAACATGTGTCACACATTACAGCGACGAGGTAAACCCAACCGTATCCTGAAGCCATTACTATTTGGACTCGAGGAGCATTATGATGATATGTATACAGTTTCCTTCTAATAATAATAAGTCAAAATCATCTACGTTCCTATAGTAGAGCATAGTGTATTGGCACAGCTACTTTTTCTTTTATTATGCAACGTAGAATGGCAAACAAGCTGACGGCCCACCTGATGGAAAGTGGTAACCGTCGCCTATAGACATGAGCGGTACCATGGACATAACAGAGTGTACCGTTTCGCCCATGATACCATTCCAGAGGACTCAGGTGTTCTTCCTTTGTACCCTGTAAATTCACGCCATATCCCACCCTTCAAACCGAAACACAGCCATGCAAACACAACTGCTTCACGGTAGAAATACGAGTGCAAAGTCTGGTAAATAATACTCTTTTAAAAAATTTGTGAGAAATATTGAAAATTGTTAAAACAAATCGACAGACAATTGCGACGTTGCCACATTTGGGTGAGCTGAAGTAATGTAGTGAATGTCCCTGACTTGAGCGTGATGCGGTGGTGGCGGCCGTCGGCGACGGCGAGGATGTGGTGCGGCGGCGTGAAGCGGTACTCCTTCATGTGCGGCTTGACGTAGTACTGCGCCGGCTGCAGCGCCGGGAAGCGCAGCGAGCCGTCCGCGGCCGACTGCGCGTTGCGCCGGTAGCTGCCGCCGCTCACCGACACCAGCGCGCCCTGCCGGCACGGGACAACGCTCAGCCTAACAGTACAACACCCATACCGTGCTCCCGGCATACAATACGGAGTTTATTACATTTCCCTTCAATGCTCTGCTCCTATTGATCGTAGCGTGATGAAAAGTATAGTATAACTCGCCCAGGAGTATGAAGAATAATTGTACCAAGTTTCGTTAAAATCCGTCGAGTAGTTTTTGTTTCTATAACGAACATACAGACGACAGATAGACAAAAATTTTACTGATTGCATTTTTGACATCAGTATCGATCACTAATCACCCGCTGATAGTTATTTTGGAAATATATTTCATGTACAGAATTGACCTCTCTACAGATTTATTATAAATATAAATAGATAAACTTATTAAGCCATTTACCAATACAAGTATTTGTACCAGAGGGAGACTTTGTACAAAAGTCGTTTGCTTGGGTACCTCTGTCCCATTCGTGTTTCAACCGTGAAGCAGTTGTGTTTACATGGCTGTGTTTCGGTATGAAGGGTGGGATATGGCGTGAATTTACAGGGTACAAAGGAATAACACCTGAGTCCTCAGAAATGGCAATGCATGGGGGGTATCATAGGCGAAACAGTATACTCTATTATAGGCGTATATAGGCGACGGTTACTACCTTCCATCAGGTGGGCCGTCAGCTTGTTTGCCATTCTAAGTTGTATAAAAAAAAAAGTATAGCGACCTGTAGCGGCGTGTCGTCGGTCTCGTCCCGCAGCTCGACGGTGATCTCGGCGAGCTTGTGCGCCGTGATGACGCTGTCGTCGTCCGGGCCCTCCGGGCCGCTGAACACGTACGACTCCTTCTCAGCCACGATGGTGTACTTCTTGGACGCGTCTAGGGGGCCGAACTTGTATGTGCCGTCCTCTGTCGTTATTTGCACTAGTTTTAAGTCGTCTGTAATAGAATGAATTATGTTTTAAATATATTTCCATATGTTGCTGACTTGGCATTTATATAATATTTATAATAGGGCAACACTAGGGAGGCGGCCATGTTGTTGAGAATTAAAGCAGCTGTCAAAAGTACGACCCAGTCTTTTACTGATATTTAATCAAAACAAAGTCGCTGTCACTGTCTGTCCGTCCCTATGTATGCTTAAATCTTTAAAAATACGCAACGGATTTTGAAGCGGTTTTTCTTAATAGAGTGATTCAAGAGGACGGTTTATATGTATAATACATGCATAATATTGTAGAGAAACACTGATAAATTTAGAGGTTTCTAATATGATTTCGTAAATAAACATATTTTTTAGCGCTTAAATTGCAAACGCTGGCTGGAACCCACGAGATAAATGAAAATAATGTACTACAGTATTGTACACCTTAAGAAGGTCAATAAAAAAGTCTGTGATGGTATATATCTATCTCTTAAGGATAACCAACAATAATCATTTCTTATCCTTTACAATTTATGGGGAAAATTGGCTTATTTATGAAGTGATTTTAATCAATACAGCATTATTTTTTATCCTATTAAATATTTTAAATATATTGTCCTTTTAATATAAATCAATATGGTATTTTATAGCAGGTAATTTAAATGAATATTTCCGAAGATATTACGGATTTAAAGTGCAAGGATATAGCGGTGCGGCGGTAACGGCTGAGCCGGCGGCGCGTGATTATAAATAGCACGTCGTAGGCCGCGTTTCGCTCTAAAGCACTTTATCATGTTTGTATTGTCTAATGACAAAAAAAAACTGTAAACGTTGTTTATAAGGAGATTTTTTAGTGGGTAGGTGTATTTAGTATCAGCATTGCATTCGAGCGAAGCCGGGGCGGGTCGCTAGTTTTTTTTTAATGGATGAAAACTGAAATGGACACCCCACCTGCGCTATCGGGATACGCTGGCGGGGCACCAGTGACGGATGATTGGTGAGGATGAGAAGGCAGGTCATCGCGTCATAGCCCATCGTGATGAACTCATCAAAAATAACCACGATGGTGTCCAGGGAGAACCGCGTCGAGGTCGACCCGTTAGGGTAGGCTGTTAGATCTCGATGGACTGACCTCATCAAAACGGCCACACAGAAATCTATTGTGGAATGCTCTCGCTCGGCGGCGAACAGAAGTAGATGGAGACATATTGCGAGGACCTCAATCGCGAAGGAGAGCCTCACCGACGATCCACCGTCATTGTGAAAACCACGACCACTCTGCCAAGAGTGTACGACTGAAGAGAGAGAGAGTTAGATCTCGCTACTGGCAATCCGTGCGGCCGCGGCTCGCTAGTTAGTAATATAGTGATACTAGGTGCTGACCGGCGCTGAGCGTGACGGCGGCGCCGGCGACGGGCGGGCGCAGCGCGCCGGCCAGCGTGAGCGCGCGCGCCGCCCGCAGCGTGAGCGCGGCGCCGGCGCCGCCGCACGCCGCGCGCGCCGCCAGCCGCGCCGCGCCGCCCGCCACCACCAGCCGCCGCGACCGCGCCTCCACCGACCACGTCTCGCCCTGCGCACCACACCACGCGATCACGCTACACACGCCTCGCCATCCGGCTCCGGGGACCAAAACACTCACGATTCGTACACGCAATATTACGATGCAATATTAACAATTCATTAATAATTATTATTGAAACCATAAAACTGTTACAGATTACTAAAATAGGGTTGTATACAACAATTTCAATTTAAATTGGGGGGTATCATGGGTGAAACAGTATACTCTGTTATGTCCATGGTACTGCTCATGTCTATAGGCAACGGTTACCACTTTCCGTCAGGTGGGCCGTCAGCTTGTTTGCAGTTCTAAGTTGTATAAAAAAAAAATACATAGATAATATTAGTGTCGGATTTATTTAAAAAAAAAAGTCTACTACTATTACAAATAAATGCTAATTATTGGCGAATGTTATTATGTGGCAAAAAAATCGCACTCATGTTAATATGCACTCTTTTAATTATCAATTTATTAAAATAAATCTTTTACTGATTTTAACTCTATATTATTAAGACAAATTTTACATTTTGGAGTAACTGTGGTAACAAAGTAACTCAAAATTCATAACATACAACAAAGTGTAAAAAATTATTCTCTACAAAATTACTCTATCTGTTTAAAGTAAAAAAAAAAAAAAACAACTTAATAAAAATACAAAATTACTGTGAACTCTATTAGTCCTGTATACAAAATATGAACATATCAAATTTCATTTATTCAGTTACAAGGAAGGAGATCAGAGTTACCGCCAAGATATAAATACGGGAAAATAATTGGTAAATAAATATATGTCAGCACTGACCTCGGCTAAGTAAAGCGTGTGCTCGAAGACGTAGCCGCCGTCGGGGTGCGGACGCGGCTGCAGCGGACCTGCAGTGGCAGTGCGCGAGCCACACACGAGATGCAGCTGCACATCGTCAGCCGGCTCCGGCGCCAGCAGCCGGACCACGGCCGCGTGCGCCGCCGCCGTCAGACGCAACTCCTGGACACATATTCATTTATTCATTAGTACCTATATGTGTACATGGCGGACTTAATGCTAAAAGCATTCTCTCCCAGTCTACCATAGGGAAGTGTCAGAATACTAGAATGCGGTACTACTAATTATTGATATACATACATACTAAAATTACATTTTTTTTATACCACTGAGATGGCAAACAAGCATACGACCCACCTGATGGTAAGTGGTTACCGTAGCCTATGGACACCTGCAATACCAGAGGTATTACGCGTGCGTTGCCGACCCTGAAGAAACCTCTTTACCCGTCTTTTGAAGAACCTCATGCTGTAGGCTCTTAGGAAAACCTTGGCAGAAAGCTCATTCCACAACCTGAGTGTTCGTGGGAGAAAACATCTCTGAAACCGCGCAGTACGCGACCATTGAGGCTGTAGGACATGAGGGTGAACTCCCTGTTGATGGCGAGCCGTACGATGGTAGAAAATAGCTGTGGGCAATCATATTGAACAATTCCTCTGAGCACAATCCATTGTACAGGCGGTAAAACACGCAGAGTGAGACAAAATCTCTCCTAAGACTTAAGGGTTCGATACCGCTTGTGAGCCTGGGATCAACGACAACTCTCATAGCTCGTCGTTGCAACGAGTCGAAAGGTTCAAGCCGGTATCTAGGTGCTTCGGCCCATAAGTGACAGCAATACTCCATATATACACATATATAACATCGAGGTTTTCCCAAGAGACTACAGCATAGGGTTCTTCAAAAGGTGGGTAAAGAGGTTTCTTCAGGGTCGGCAACGCGCGCGTAATACCTCTGGTATTGCAGGCGTTCATAAGCTACGGTAACCGCTCACCATCAGGTGGGCCGTATGCTTGTTTGCCACCTCAGTGGTATAAAATATATATATATATATATATATATATATATATATATATATATATATATATATATATATATATATATATATATATATATATATAGTATATTATACACGCAATTGAAAATAAAGTATTTCCTATTGTCACACGTGGTATGGAAATTTCTAGTCAAAACCGAACCTGTGGTTGGTGGTGGGCGGCGGCGAGGGCGGTGTAGTGCGGCGGCTGGTAGCGGTGGCAGCCGCGCGGCGTCAGCTGGTAGCGGCCCGCCGCCGCCACGCACTGCACGCTGGGCCCGCGCGGCACCGACCACACGCCCTCCACCTTCCCGTCCTCGCTCTTGTACTCCATCTGTGGACCGCTTCGCTCTGTACCTGCACCTCTTTACTATGCTACTGTACTATTTACATTAGGGGACAAAGGGATTGTTAGTAATAGGGGTCAAATAGCCCCACTACTAGTAATATACCCTGTACCCTGTGTGTGTTGACTGTGGGGGGACAAATCGGAATCCATGGAACACTTGATGTGCACCTGCGATTCGTTGGCAAGTATGCGTATGAGTCTATTGGGAACGGTTTATCCAGAGCCACGGGACTACAGATATCTTGAACCGCGGGATATCGTTAGGGTAACACATAGGATCTATGAAATGATGGTATAAGGCAGGGGGAAGCACGAAAGATCCGTATGGGTCGACGTGCATCGGCTTAGATGACCCCATATGCGAAAAATAAGATAAAATAATATACCCTGTCGGGTCGACCTCCACGTGGTTCCCCCCGGAAACTGTCGTGGCTATTTTCTAGTTGAGGTTGTCAGGATGGGCTAACTGACCTGCTTTCATCCTCATCAGTCATCTTTCACTGGTGCCCCGCCAATGTATACCGATAGCGCAGACGGGGTTACTATACCATTATCATCCATTAAAAAAAAACATTTACATTACGAAACTTCATGCATCGTGCATGTACAAACTACGGTCTGTTTTAATAGAGCTTTTTTTTTATTTTTTTATAAAAAAAAAAATGAAAGCTCGATGAAAATGTAAGGATTGACCCAACCGTAAGATATAACCAAAAAACAGCTAACTATTCTATTCTAGAGAGTATTTCTGTGACAATTTCCAATATAATTTGATTTACTTTTCATTAAGTTGTATTGAAACAAAACAATTTCGTAATGTAAATTTTCAGTTTATGAAATAGATCTGATGTGATGACGTAACATCAAATGGTGATGAATGACACTAAAATCAAAAATTTTATTTTATTTGTATTTTATTGCACACACTAATAATACATGTACACAATAATAGAAAAAATGAGCTTCCAACCAAATTTAAATAAAATCTGTTCATCAATTTGAACGTAACTGTGTGACAAGCTTCTAAAACACCTTTACTTTTGCATTTTATAACAACTGTATTCAGAATAGAATTCATTTCATTTTTTTTTATTGCAGCATTACCTCTTCCGCATATAAGCAATAGAAAGACAATATATAAAGAAGAAATAAAGATATATATATATATATATATATATATATATATATATATATATATATATATATATATGTGTATATATAGGTATGTAACTAGACTCCAGAATCAATAACAGAAGTGCATTGCGACAGCGCATTTATATGAGTATTTAACACTTGTTATAAAATGGACGCCTTGGATTCGTGACACTGATGGGTATTTCATAACGAACCATTATATCTTAAACATAAGTGGCATAATGTACTGATACGCTATACGAATGCTACCGACACAGTATATTAGCTGACAAGAGAACAAGCTACAAAGCTAGTATGGTGGTGTATGGTGCGTAGTGTGTAGCTGACCTCGATGGGGTGGTCGAGGTGTAGCCGCAGCGCGTAGCCGACGTGGTGGAAGTCGGGCGCGGCGGCGTGCGTGTGCGCCAGCTGCAGGCCGAGCCGCCGCCGCCGCCAGCACAGCGCCTCCGCCTCCACAGACACCTCCACGCTGCCCGGCAGCACCTCCGAGAACTCATACGCGCCGTCTGTACAACCACAACGCCGGAAACAACTTTACTTACTTCAATGCCAATTTATTTAAAAAGATAATGTATACTTGGCTGAATGTAAATAGTTTATATATATATATATATATATATATATATATATATATATATATATATATATATATATATTTTTTATTGGTGATAATGGAATGGTAACCCCACCCGCGCTATCGGTATACACCAGTGGGGCACCAGTGAAGGATGATAGGTGAGGATGAAGTAGGTCAGTTAGCTCATCGTGACGCAGTCGACAATAATTGTTCACGATGGTTTCCAGGGGGAACCACATGGAGGTCGACCTAATAGAGCATATTGCTAGCAATGGGGCTGTCAAACTCCATTGCTAACAACTCCTTTCCCCCCTAGTTTTTATGATGTAAAACATTTCCTAAACAAAAAACAAAATGTTAGTTGTTTATCTATACTTATAAAAAATATATAGAGAGGTCAATTCTGTACATGAAATATATTTCCAAAATAACTATCAGGCGGTGATTAGTGATCGATACTGATGCCAAAAATGCAATCAGTAAAATTTTTGTCTGCCTGTCTGTCTGTATGTTCGTTATAGAAGCAAAAACTACTCGACGGATTTTAACAAAACTTGGTACAATTATTCTTCATACTCCTGGACAGGTTATAGTATACTTTTCATCACGCTACGATCAATAAGAGCAGAGCAATGAAGGAAAATGTTGGGAAAACGGGAGGAGTTACTCCATTTTTAAGCTTCCGTCGCCTGTGCAGCCTTAATGGTCATTTTTTAAAATGTAAAGACGTCCACCCGTGCGACGCCGGGACAGGCCGCTAATGTTAAATAAATTTGCATACTATCACGTTGTCAGCTAAGCACGAATGTTCTTTGCCTAATGTAACATCTTAGACTTTAGCGTGTTTAAATAAATAAAGATTATACTATTATGCTAATCACAATGCATTCTCAATGGGGGGAAAGGGATTGTTAATAATGGAGTTTCACAGCCCCATTGCTAGTAATATGCCTTATTAGGTCGACCTCCACGTGGTTCCCCCTGGAAACCATCGTGAACAATTCTTGTTAAATTCGTCACGATGGGCCAACTGACCTACTTCATCCTCACCTATCATCCTTCGCTGGCGCCCCGCCGGTGTATACCGATAGCGCGGGTGAGGTCACCATTCCATTATCCATTAAAAAAAAAGTAAAGGTACCACCAGGTAACGTGTTTGACTTACTTTTAGCAACAGTAGTGAGCGGCTGGCCCACGTAGCCGCCGTCGACGGACAGCGCTCGCAGTGTGACTGTCAACGATGCACAGTCAGCGGGCACTATGCAATTTATCTTTCCGGTGAGCCGACCCTTCAATTGTGAGAACACGATGCCATCTACTGGCGCGTTGACTACCGACACCTTTTGAGTGAGTGGGTAAAATCTGAAAAGAACAAAAAAACATTTTAGAAATAGGTACATAAACTGTACACAGGAGGGGACTGTAATCCGTATAAATTCCTATTTACTGGATTATAGGCAATAACTATAAATTTCCTTGCAATATTAAAAATAATATATATATAATATAATAAGCTCCCCCCTCTCCTTTCCCACATAAGTCCCTTATTCCTTTCATTCACCAATTTCCTTTACGCATTTCGGTTCCCTTCCTTTTTTTCTCAATCCTTTCCTCCATACCACAGGTGGCGGAAACCACCAACAGATGCATTCCCAAAAACGGTTGACATCAGGCAGGTGGCCGGTCGTAAAACTAAAAACCAAAACTTTTTGTAATATGGATAAAACCATATGCCGACCCCAAATGATTAGGACAAGGGAAGATAATATAATAAGCTCCATCTATTGAGTTCCATTTTAAAACTAAAATAACAGATCAATGATAATCAATCAATAATTTATCTATTTGTATAAGTTACATTATAGTTGTAAATGTTCTTTATTATTGCACCACAATTGATTTGTTCACTAAAACAAGAAGTCACTGACTTCTCAAATATAGGTTTAATTAAACCCGGAAATCAGGGAATTCTAAATTTAAAAGCTGTATGATTTATGCCAATAAAGATACATTACTACTATTCTTTAAATTTTACTAAAATTCTCATCTCCCCTCTTAAGGAGAGGAGATGGCAACTAACCCCCGGCAGGAGCACAATCGGCCGGTGTTCAGGGCCCCAGCGAGAGAAACCGGCGTACAATGCGGGCAGTATCTATAAGCATTACCTTCTGCATCGTTCGCGGGAGTGAATTGCTTCGGAATCTCAACCGTCTGAGATGTTGTTCCAGACTGGTTGGGATAAGACCGTTCACCGACATAACGATTGGAATGATTTCGGTGAACGCCACCCCCCACATTTCGGTCACCTCGTGAGCCAGGTCGAGATATTTTCTCTTTTTCTCGGTTTCGGCTTTCACGAGGTTCTCGTCATACGGTATAGTGACATCCACCAAAATTATTATAATTATTATAATCTATAAACAATTCTATCAAATGATCATTACTTGATTTTTAATCATTTGGTGAATTCTCAAGAGACGAATATGTTTTATGATTATTGATGTTCAAAGTTACCCCTGGGGTAATTTTGAACATTAACAATTTATCTATTGTAACATGTCATATATGAAAATATGAGGTAATTATTGAACTGTATTTGAAATAATTAAGAGATTCTATTATGTAATAAATATACTCACTGCAAACCATCTCTCTGTTCTTGTTCGCTGACATCCACTTTGGCTGTATACACGCCGGGCGGCAGGAAAGTGCACCATTTACCTGGATATAAAACCATAGTGTTGTAAATATGCACAATTAATTTAATAATATAAGGATTGTTTTTTTAAGGCATTATGAAAATATTTTTTTAGTTTACTTGTGTATTTTTTTTCATTTTACATGATATCTTTGACAATTCTGAATCGGTTTTGATAATAGTGTTTACATGTGATAGTCCCATGACTTGGTTATTTGTGACAATTGAAGTTTTATATCACACATAATCAGCATTATTTATTTAGGATAGTTTATTAAGGATTCCGAATGGTCCCGGAACTAGTCGAGCGTTCTCGACTTAATTACAAATAAGTTACATTTAAATATAAAGTATAAAGTAAAATCAACTGTTAAATCCGACGATGTCATACTTCAGCAAAATTCAGCAGGAACAGTCTTAAAAAGAGACAAGTGGTGGTGGTTACCGTCGTGTGCGGTGTGTGCGGTGTGTGCGGTGTGGACGTCGCCGGCGCCGGTGTCGGGCGCCAGCAGCACGCGCCGCGCGTGCGCCGGCGACACGCCGCCGCACACCCGCCAGCGCGCCGCCGCCGCCGCCGCCGCCGCCGCCGCCGCCGCCGACACCGGCGCCGGGCCCGCCGCCAGCACAGACAACTGCCGCGCCTCCACTTCGCACTGCTCTGTAACACGCGCGTGGCACCGCCTTAAACCTTCGTCTACTGCACCCTACTACAGCCTTACATTATATATATGTATATATATATATATATTTTATACAACTTAGAATGGCAAACAATACTCATGCGTCGCCATTCCTGAGGACTCAGGTGTTATTCCTCTGTACCCTGTAAATTCACGCCATATCCCACCCTTCAAACCGAAACAGCCATGCAAACACAACTGCTTCACGGTTGAAACACGAATGAGACAGAGGTACCCAAGCAATCGACTTTTGTACAGTCTCCCTCTGATAATATACATTCAGCCTCAAAAACAGCTCAACTTTAATAAAAGAAAAATAACACCTGAATCCTCAGGAATGGCAACGCATGGGGGGTATCATGGGTGAAACAGTATACTCTGTTATGTCCATGATACTGCTTATGTCTATAGACGACGGTTACCACTTTCCATCAGGTGGACCGCAGCTTGTTGGCCATTCTAAGTTGTATAAAAAAAAATATAATCTAAAACTACATCATATACAATCCTAGTATTAACTCATATTAACAGACCAAGACAATAAGTCACCTATACCTATATACTTCTCTATCCTAAATAGTAAATGTATACCAAATTTCATAATAATTGGTTAAAATTGTTGAAACAGTATAAAGGTAGCAAACAAACTAATATGTTACATGTATATATCTATAACTAATAACGCAACTGTTAAAATATTTGTAGTCTAGTGTTATTTAATTCATTATAATTGTTACTTCTTTTTTCGCACTGTATGACAGATGAAGCAACCATCATTGCACTCAACCATTCATTCCAAACGTCCATTCACCTCTAACCATTATTGTAAATAAATTAAAAAAACACCTTACTTAAAGGTTATAGGTAGATAGATAAATATATTTTTTTTTTGCATTACTTACAGCGCACAAACAGCAAAAGACACAAATGCAAAGTGCAAAAAGATAAAAAAACATACATGTACAAAAATTTCAAAAAAAAAAAAACAAACAAAATCAGAATGCATAAAATTAGTAACAATATTTTTTTCTTCATGCGTGCGCCACAGTAATACAAAATGGCCACAACTCAGCTTTTCGCTTTGCCCTAAAAAGAGCAAAACACTGATATTCTGTTGTGGCCAATAGTGAGCCGCGAAATACCACTGAAAAAAAATAATAAAAAAAAAAGAAAGAAATGTAGATCAAATACATTGTGTATTGCTTGTAGGTTACCTGGAAGAGATAGCTCTTAGTGATATTAGGCCGCCATTGTTTTCTCAGTGTGAACATTTCTTGTAATTGTTTGTATTTATAATAGGTTTACTATTGTAATCTTATTGAGGAAACAATAAAGAGTATCTATTTATCTTCAAACAATATTCACAAATAAATCAATAATTTCTTAACCCAACTCACCATGTTGAAATTCCAGTGTATAAGTGCCGGGCTGCAAATTGGGCAGCGTGTATTTGCCAGCGGCGTCGGTGGTGGCGACCGGCCGCTCGTCCAACAACACGCGGACGCCCTTCAGGCCGGCGCCGCCCACTGCGGCCAGTACCGTGCCCACCACTGTGAATCCTGTCACCTGTGGTACATTCAATTACATTTTCTATGCGACTTGGGACAATAAAGAAGCTGATGGCTCACCTAGTAGAAAGCGGTAACCCAAAATATTAATTAAAGAAATAATTTGTAAAATTTTAAAACAATAACTATTCTTTGTGTAAATTTGGTAAAACTATAAAATAATGAAATACTCAAAGCAGTTGCATGACCAATTTTGATACAAACTAAATCAACCCGTCATAAATTCATTATTTTTCTAGCTAGGAAATCCCTGAAGATATATATAAGAAAAAAAAAAAATACAAGCCAATTTCATTCAAAATGTTGTATGGAAAAAGAGAACACACTTGTTAATGTTTCCTTTTCTGCCGACTTTAAAAAAAAGAATGTTTGTTACCTCTTAACTCCATCAGTTTTAATCCAACTTGGAAAATTATTCTTTATCAGATAAAATATATATATATAAATATATATATATATATATATATATATATATATATATATATATATATATATATATATATATATATATATATCTTTATCAGATACTTAAAGATTGGCCCTATAGAAATTTTATGAAAATCTGTTAAGTAGTTTAGCTTTTAAATCAAAATAACTCTTTTAGCCACTATCGAAGTAATTTGTAAATAAATTTAAATTAATAAAACAAAAAATCTAACCTCAAAGGCATCTTTGATATACAAGCTGTCGTGTAGCACAGAGAATGCGACTTTGTCCGGCTTCACATTGTATGTAACAGACACTTGTCCCGGCGGTGTGTTGAGGACTACCAGCCTGTACTCCCCAGCGGGAACAAGTCCAAAGCTGAACTCTCCCAATGTGTCAGTCACTGAATGGCATATGGGTGCATCTGAGACTCCTTGCAGTAGAGCAGTGTTGCAACCTTCCACTCGAAACTTGGGATTTTGCTGACAAAAAAATATAGATATAGGTGAAGAGTGTATACAATGTATTATTACCAATTATGTACCATCCTTTTTACCACATTTCAAACAAAATAAAGTTATTTGTATTTGATAAAAAAGATCTTAGAAAAAAAAATATATTTAGTAATCTATTGGTTAATTATCATTACTTTAACATATTATGTTAGGCATGGGATCTTACCCCATAATATAGGAATATTAACCTACTATTTCCATGGTGACCATGGTTAGTAGTTTTATTGTTAATTTCCTTCATATGCATAGCTATCCTCTAAAATATTTGCTAGGATCGTCTAGTCATCTCTTGTTATACATTAAAGGGTTGAAAAGAAATGGTAATATAGGATCAACAAAAAAAAACTTAATTTTATGATGAACATGTAACTCAAATGTGTGGATGGGTTTGAATGAGATTTAATACACAGATAGACAATTTATGACACCCAAAGTGGTTTATATCAATGCAGTATACTCATAAGACATACAGGCAGTTTATAATTTTGCAGACTTTATCTTAGATAAAAAAAAAATACTTTTTTATATATACAGATACAGAAAGTATATCTCATGTAAGCAAATAGATTGATAAGTTACTATGAAAGGTTGGTTAGGTTTTTTAACATTAAACCTTCTAAGCGCGGTCAAATGACCATTCTTGATATTCAGTTTAAAAATTTTCATGTATAATGTTATTGTATCATCAACCATAAAGCAGTTGTGTTTGCATGGCTGTGTTTCGGTTTGAAGGGTGGGATATGGCGTGAATTTACTGGGTACAGAGGAATAACACCTGAGTCCTCAGGAACGGCAACGCATGGGGAGTATCATGGGTGAAACAGTATACTCTGTCATGTCCATGGTACTGATAATGTCTATAGGTGACGGTTACCACTTTCCATCAGGTGGGCCATCAGCTTGTTTGCCATTCTAAGTTGTATAAAAAAAAATTTAACTTATTGACTTTTCCCATAATATACATACAACCTATTTTTCAATATTTACAACTTACTATTATTTACTTATTTACTATCAGATTGGCTCAAATCTCTTTCTATATTAAGATACATACTTTATTTTAAAGGGGTCATTTGACCACTCATGGTAGGATTAGGTATGTATGAAATGTGAAATTAGTGGTAACAAACTGAAAATTATAATAACCTCTTTTGAATATAAGAGCACATAAACTCCACTTATGACAGAGCCAAATGATGTTATAGAACCCTTCACATCATAACCCTTTACAGCGAGGACACCCTCTGGAAGAACCGTGTTACCCTCCTTCACTTGCACTACAGCTTGTGCTGGCTCTAACTTCCATCTGAAATACAAATATTTTAATATTTTACAATAATCATTGTTTTCATGTAAAAAAAAAATACTTAACCCTTCTTTACATACTGGTGGAAATTTCCATCATAACAATGAATGCCTAAAACTTATATAAAAGAACAAGTTCACTTTAAGTTGATTGTGTCTGGATAATTTTTAATGTCCACTGCAGAAAAAAAAAACATAGCTGTCAAATGTATTGATTTAACCATTTTTCCTTTAATTTTAAACATGAATTATATCACTTTGATTACATGACTTTGATTTCACCAATAAAAAAAAATCATGCAAAGACAGGTTAAAAATATTAACTCATAATTTAAATATAATCTCTAGAACATATACAACGTATATAATATATACAACAATTTATGAAATACATAAAAATACTGTCAAATTAATAGTTTTCTTTTATATATTTTTACTAATGCAATAAAATAAAAGAGTGTGTTTTTTAATATACTAATTACTGGAACTACCAATCCAATTAAAAAAAAATTGCAAGTGATAGCTCATTCCTTGTGAAAGGTTATAGGCTATTCAATATCATGATATAACAATGGGCGAAGCCATAGAATACTAATAAGCTAGAAAAAAAAACAACACTACATAAACACATACCTTGGATGAGAAGCCTTCACAGTATACTTTCCAGGTATAACAGGGGTAAAATGGAAATCGCCGCCAACTGTGGTGAGCGTGGTCCTCACTTCCCCTTTATCATTCACCAGCTCAACTGATATGCCACTGGGGCCTTGTTTCTGACCTGCAGTTATCACTTTGCCCGTAATGCCAAAGCCATTGAAAAAGAAATTAATGTCCTGGCCAGTTGCACACTTATCAGATTCGCCATCTACCGTCACCTCCACTTGGGATGGTTCGAAACTCCATCCCGCCGGTGGATGTACCTTTAAAATATATTCTCCTTTTTCATACAACGGTAGGAAATAATACCCATTTGTTGGTGCGCACTCTGTCTTCTCCTTAAGACTCCCTGTTTTAGTGTACCTAGAAAACCAATTTTATTTTTAGTAATATAAAGGAAAATAAATCCAAATAATCTGATAAATGTAAGATGTTAGGTTAACTTACAAGCCTATATCTATTTTAGAAAAATCCAAACTAACATGACTCTTGACAAATCCACCGCATCCTATAATATCATTAGCGTTACATTGTGTAATAAAAATTAAAATAATAATTATTGAAATATATTTTTGAAGAACTAAAAACATTTTAGTTGCATATAGATAAGTAAAATAGGTAATGACAGAACAAGTTATCACTAATCACTACTTAGTAAGATTTGACACCGGCCTTATCTCAATGAAACTTAGAAATAGAATTGCATGTTACCTTTTTGTAGATAGTGACAACACAATGAAAAAACAAATTTATATCCATAGTATTGCATTACTATCTGTATATTCATAAATCCAAAATATTGATATCGACAATTGCCATTAAAAAACCTAGCTATTTATTAACATCAATTTTTATGAAAAACATGGACAATAAAACAATTGCCTATATTTTGACTGACTGACTGTGAGTAATGTAAATTCTATTTGGTACATTAAACAATAGTGGTAAATATTGTACCGAGGTAGCAGCATGTGAAAAAAATACGTATTAATTTTTACAGAATTGACTCCAATATTATTTATACCTTAGATTATCTATGATACATTTTATGTTGCTTATTTGATAGAAGCAGGTAGGTAGTTTTAAACTTAGTAATACGGATTACTAGTCCCATTGCTAGCAATATATTGTGTCAGATTGACCACCAAGTAGCCTCCTTAGAAAATATTATGCTAAATTCCAAATGTATTCATCACGATAGACTAACTGACTTGCCTTTTTATTCTCAACTATAATCTGTCATTGGTGGTACCCCGCCAGCGTATATTGTTAGCGCAGGTGTAGTTATCATTTCATTATAGTCTATTAAAAAAAATGCGACCGAGTAGTTAACCGACAAATCCAACTCGGCTGTGCAACGCTGGAGAATTCTCTTTCAAAATATTTTAAAGTTGGAAGACGAAGGTCTTTAATCAGTTCGTGTTGCCAGCGATGACTTATGGAACTGAAACATGATCCTACATAGTTGCTCGTACGCAAAAGCTTTAAACTACTCAGCGAGCTATGGAGAGGACTATACTTGGAGGAGGAAGAGAGCTTTGCATGACAGAATCCGAAACAAGAATATTCGTAAGACAACAAAGTAACAGACATAAACCGAAGGATAAGCAATCTGAAGTGGCAATGGCCTAGTTATGTGACTAGGCTTAGCTATGTAGCTTAAAGAACCAACAACCAATAGAGAATAAAATTTCTTGGCTGGCGACCCCGGATACGGGTAAATACAGTATAGGACAACCTTGGGGGAAAGGGATTGTTTTTTTTTTTGATGGATGATAATGGAATGATGGTAACCCCGCCTGCGCTATCGGTATACACTAGCAGGGCACCAGTGTGAGATGATTGGTGAGGATGAATACGCAGATCAGTTAGCCCATCGTGACGAATTCAATGATAAATTAATAACGATGGTTTCCAAGGGGAACCGCGTGGAGATCGACCTGGTAAGGTATATTAATAGCGATGGGGACTAACCTCCCCATTACTAACAATCCCTTCCCTCTAAAGGGATTGTTAGTAATGGACACTAAAAAATCCCATTGCCAGCGATATACCTAACCAGGTCGACCTTCACGCGGTTCCCTCTGGAAACTATTATGGTTAATTCGTGATGAATTCATCATAATAGGCTAACTGGCCTGTTTTCATTTTCATCTATCACCCCTCACTGGTGCCCCGCCTGCGTATACCAATAGCGCAGGAGGGTTACCATTCCATTATCATCCATTAAAAAAAAACTCAAAATAATCTATATTCGGTCGGTCTGGCCGGATTCCGTAATTGGCGACTGCCCTTAAGGGGACAGCTACTGATGTAGCTCACTAGTGCTTCGCCAGCATATCCTATTAGCGCAGGCGGAGTAACCAATCCATTTTAATCCAACGAAAAAAAATATAGGACAACCTTCTATTAAATGGAGTGACGACCTCAAGTGCATTGCAGGGAGTTAGTGACAGCGCAGTGGTTCATGAACGTTCCTAATGGCAGTCTATAGGGGAGGCCTATGTTTAGCAGTAGATGGATAATGGCTGGATCACAATGGATAACAATCGATAAAACGTAATCAATTAATTTAGTACTAAGCAATACTAAAACGTTTGTCTGCCACAGACAGTTCTTAGATAATAATGAATCATTATTATCTGTGGTCTAAACAGACACTAAAACGTCTGTCACGTGTCTAATAGCCTCCGTTAACGGTTTATAAGTTTTTATTGTTGATCCATCATCATTTTACAAGAGTAGCTAAAACTACGTGCTAGATAGAGAATTAAATCCATTACTATCGCCGCCTGTAGAAATAGAATGTCACTGATAAAGCTACTGTCTCTATTAATAATATGATCAACATGAGACAGTTCATGTTGATCATATTATTTGTTAACCGTATCTTCCATCAGCGGAAAGTTAATGAGTGAGAAAATTAACGATTGGTCTCATTAAGTCACGATAATAAATTAATAGATAATGGTGCTCATAATATTTAACTTTTTACTCATTTTAGTAAATAAATGGAGGCGATTTTGACGCATCATTTCTTTAAGCTTGCTGTTTAATATTTAAATTTGATTATTTTGCAAAATTATTGTTTTATAAATCATCATAAACCAAAATTATAACAATTTTTAATTCAATCTATTAGAAAGTTAAAATATATTAGTCCTTATAAAAAAAAGTTTTCACTATGGTACCTATAAAATAGAATTTTTAATTTTAGAGATCAATTTAGAGAAAAGGCATCTCAGATTCAATCTAATAAAAATAATACAGGTATGTACATAACTATGTACCTGTATTATTTATAATTAAACATAATTATGTAACTAACTGGGAATTTAGTTGAACATTGTTTGTTCTCAAGCCACTTTTGTATATTTATGTATCATGTAAGAAAAAGTGATAAGACACCTAGATAAAAAACAATACTTGTGCAAATACACACATGTACAGTTAGTATTAATTTATACATGTTCCACTCAAGAGAGTTTATTTATAAAAGGCAATCTTTATTATAGTGTTCATTCTACTTCATTAATATAAATTTTCATAATGATAAATAATATTACCAAATTGTAAAAGGTATTTATCTGGTATTAAATAAAAAAGGATTTATTTGTGTTTTTATTTTCAAGTGACAACACAAATATAAAACTTTATAATAAAGGGTGATAAAGAATGTATATTTACTAAGAAAAATAAGATAGACTTAGTGGTATATTTACTAAATTAATTATTGATAAAACCATTTCATATTTATATTTGTACTAATGAATTTTATGTTGCAACTGCTGTCTTAGCTTTATTTTGTATAGGAAGGAATAACTTAAATTCTGCTGGCAACTCATCTTCCGAGTACAATCTGTCAGAAAAGTATACTCTTCTTATTCGACAATTAGCATGTATTTGGACCCTAAGTGTTTCAACATAGTTTGTGCCATAAGCTCGACGAGTGAAATCAGCTAGATTGAATTGAATTTGGTTCCATCCCTCGTCGAGTCTCATCGGCATAGTACAGATGAAAGGCTTCACTCTTGTTGTAGATTGATAGTTACTAGCCCTAAATCTCCTTCTAACGTTTTTGTCATCTAACACCTGAAAGTTAGCCATAATATTATTTATTATAGAATAGGGTCAAAACAAATAAAAACAAAACTGCTACTTTTAACTGCAGTTTTTAACATGAAATCTATTGTTACTACTGACCTGAACTTCAAACGTGAAGTACTTTTTGAGGTTTTTAATTATCATAACCAAAAATGGTAACTTAATGCCGAGGGTCTTCTTCGGATCGGCGGGACAAGTAATGTACGTCGTACTAACATTGGTACCAACTATTTCCAGCACTAAACTCTGTATATCGTTGTCTGTTATCCTCTTTATGTGCCCATTTCGAACCTTTTTATCCCAGATTTGTAAAGGTTTACTGCCTATACTGTAAAGAATTGACAGAAACCCTGACTGAAAAGTGTTCTTGAACATTATTCCAGATTTATTTCGTAATCACAATCTACCCTTACATATAACATTCAATTAACTACAAAAGTTTAATCAATAATAAAATTGTTTCCCGGTTACATTATAACTTGACAACATGACAGTAAACACGAAAATTTTGAACACGGCCATTGGCCATGCTTTTGTATAAGCAAGTTGCCATAACAACGATGTAAAAAAAAAAACATAATGAAGGTTCATTCACTCTACATAGTTTTTTAATAAGACTTCTATAAATAAGTGCAAAAGTAAAGATAATAATATTTGAATAAATAATGCATAAATGTCGCTGGTTTGTTAAATATTGCTGTGGATCGTAGTAGATCAGGATTGTTAAAAAGAATATTAGATATAACATACCCATTTACCTATTTGAACTTCTTTAAAACGCATCACTTATTACCTTTCTCTATTATCTGTGCAGATTCTATGACGTGATTATTAACTAGACGTGATTGATAACTAGAATTGACAGCTGCAAATCGACAGACGAGACAGACGACAGATGGCGGTTAGCGGCGATTGTACATTGTGTATTGTGTGTACATCCACCAGGAGTTAATTTTAATTTTTTGTTAAATCCCTTTTGTTATTATTGATTATATTTTCTATTTATTCATCATAGAATGCCTATAAGTTTACCTTTAGTGATAATCTAAAGATAATGAACATTTGTTTATGTGTTTCTATTGTGTGACTGAAAAGTGATCAAGCGAAAATGACGGAAACGTCATCGAAAAGGTAAGTTTTATTTAATTTTATTTATTATTTCAAGTTTATTTGCAATTGCCCCATTTACCTGACAATTTCGAATTCTGTAGATGAAACCGGTGCTAGGTACTTGCCACTCGCGTTGTTTATTCTAGACACAACCGTTATGTGACTGCTTTCAGGTTACGCCGATAGGTACTTAATTTTTTCAGTTATTAATATTTGCTGAATGATTCTAATTGTAAATATATTATTTATGTACTAGACATGTTTTAGTAACAGTAGTAATTTACATAGTAGGTATTATTATAAAAATAATTTGATAAATATGGGCAATAAACATGTTTCTATAAAAGTATAACAGTCAATAATACTATTCCATTTTCAAATCTGTAACTGTCCCCACCTATTATGATTTTATTTTCTTTTTTTAAGAAGAAGGTAAAGACTAATATACACTCATACATTTTTTTGTTACAATTTTCACTGGTGACATACTTATATCAATAATGCAAACATGAAATAAATGATTATAATAAGATTGTACTACAATGAATGTTGAATACCCACAAATAACAATTTTAAATCTAAAACTTTTAGGAACAATAAAGTCACAGATAACACTAATTGCAAAAAATACAGACAAGATTTCAATCTGTGGGTTATTATTATTATCAGCTGTTGTGTCCACTGCTGAACATAGGCCTTCATACTTGAACATCCCTTTTGCTTGTACTATACTCATTAATATGGTCATATTGAGTGATATGTTAACCATCTCATAGTTGTGAACATTTTTTTTTTAAATAAAAAAATATAAGCTCTTAATATTTAAATGTATCATAAATTACTTATCATGATATGTACAAATACATTTTAATCTGAACCAAATATTATGACTAAGTAATAATGTTAATATTAAATTCCAAATGCATTTGATACATGTAATTTAAAACCAACTGTGGTTTATCTATGTCTATCACTTATAGTCTGTGTTGATCTTAATGAAAAGTCAACAAATTTGTAATATTAAAAAATACCTCTACATGAAATTAGTAACAAATCAAAACATTCATCAAATAATTAATTTTTTATTTGTATTAATGAACACCAGTAATCTGATTTATGATTGAGTCAATGAATTGTTTATTTTTTTTTTTCAACTGACTTTAAAAAGAAGGAGACTGTTTTTTTTTTCTGAGAGGATATACTTCCATATTGGTATTGTAGAATATTTATTAAAATTAGTCCAGGAATTTAGTTTTTAAATCAAATTAACTGGTTTTTCCACAATTAAAGTTTGTAATAAAATAATCTTATATTGTAATTAAATAAATAAGTCTGCAAACCTGTACCTGAACTATATAGTTATATTGTGGAAAGCCTTTTTCTTAATCCTGTAATCCCTTCGAACATACCATAAAAATACACTTAGTGAGGCGTTATAGTGCATCCAACTGTTGGGAGTAGAGTATTCTCTTTTCTGTATATGTATAGTAACAGGAATTAATGGTTGCATTGCTAGTAACATGGTCTGTCAGGTTGAACTCCTTGCTGCCTAGCCTGGAAACAATGGCAATTAATTCTCAGTGAATTTGTCTTAATAAGCCAATTATTCAAGGCATTGTTCTCCATGTAAAATCATGCATTTAAATCTACTTCCAGCAGTAGTATTTATATATTAACCAATATGACATTGTAATCTTCAAGAGAAGAGTATATTCCTTACTAAAAGGCTGTCAGTACACCTGTAATGTCTTTGGTGTTACGGATGCTTATGAGTAGAGGTAGTCACTTACCATTAGGTTGCCTCTTGTATTATAAAAAAAACTGATTTGCTTTCAGTTAGCTTTAAAATTTCACATTGTTTACATATATTATAAATTCACAATTAACTCAGTGCGATTACAGGTAAACAGTACTTGTGTACATGAATAATATTGCCAATGTTTTGATATTTTCTGCACCAATAATAGTAATAATAGAGAGTGGCTGAAAAAACTGCTTGAATTGTCACAAGAAGATGACGCGATTCAATTCACGTTGAAAGATGTTAAGTCTCCATCCTTAGTTTCATTGTTCACTAGTTTCCCGCCATTTTTTCACTAGTGTCCCGCCATTGTATACTGTTAGCACTGGTGGCTGAACAATGCCTTATTCCTCCATTGCAAAAAAAATTTATAATAAGTACTTCATTTACAAGTATAATTATTCATTTCAGCCATTATCTGTCCAATATAAGCTTCCTCCATAGACCACAAGGAACAGGAGTGGTTTTTATTGCAGTTTACCATGGGGGGGGGGGTTGTCCGTAGTCGCAACACTTGGCAGGCAGATTAAAACTATGATATTATCGACTTATGATGACGTTTTAAAAGGGAAGCTACTGCCCCAATACTTGACCTTTTAAGTTCCCTTAATCACCTCTTACGACACTCACGGGTAAGGAAGGGCTCATTCTATGACAAGACTACACGGCAGGGGGAAAAGGGAATGTTAGTAATGGGCTCTAACTGACCCATTGCCGGCAATACACCTTATCAGGTCGACCTTCACGCCGTTCCCCCTGGAAACCATCGTGGTTTATTCTAGTGGAATTCGTCACGATGAACTGACTGACCTGCTTTCATACACATCTATCGCCTCTCACCGATGCCCTGCTAGTGTATATCGATAACGTAGGGTATGGATAATGATGGAATGGAACCCCGACCTTTCCATCATCATCCATAAAAAAGACTACACGGCAATCTGTATAACTATTAGCATATTCGTTAATTACGTTGAATTTACAGGGTACAGAGGAATAACACCTGAGTCCTCAGGAATGGCATCGCATGGGGGGTATCATGGGCGAAATGGCATCACATGGGGGGTATCATGGGCGAAACAGTATACTCTGTTATGTGCTCATGTCTATAGGCGACGGTTACCACTTTCCATCAGGTGGGCCGTCAGCTTGTTTGCCACTCTAAGTTGTATAAAAAAAAATAACTATTAATTTTCTTCATGTTTTTCTTTTGCGGAAAAAAAAACTGCTCGATTGAAGTATCCGTTTTCTTTTAAGCAAAAGCCCGTTTGTTTTTGAGCAAAATCTATTTGTAGACACACGATGTACATGTCCGGTGTACATACAGGGTCTTGGTCAGTTTTGAAAAATATTGTCTGACAAATTAGTCCCAATTCAGAATTGCATCCGATTCAAACAAAACAATATCCCCAGTGTTAAACCGGTAACTGAATCTGCAATTCTACACAGCGGCCACGAACCAGTTTGTGCAGTAAATTCCTGGTTTTATGCGTAGCTTTCTTGTGCGCTTGTTACCCGATGAATGAGTAAGCCTCAAAAGCTTCGGCCCCACGAGGTCGATCAACTTTTCACCGCCCCGATTAGTAAACAACAAAGTGATAACGAAATATTTATTTATTTAACTCTTTATTGCACCATAAGCAAAAAAAAATACAATGACTAGTGAATAATTCAAGTGAATTACAGTAACATAAATACAGATTGAAATATACACATAAAGGTACAAAAGGCGGTCTTATCGCTAGGGCAATCTCTTACAGACAACCTTTGGTTAAAGGAGTTGATAGAAGTAGGTAAGTGGCGCAAGAGTGAATTAATAATTTTTCGTGCACAAAATACAAAAACCTATAATGCACAAAAATATCGAATACAATATCTATACTATTAATACAAAAGGAAAGATTTGATTGTTTGTTTGTTCATTTATTCATCAACAGAAAGCGACATTATAAGAGAGTGATAGGTTATAAATCGAAAATTCTAGCTAGCTAGTTTGTATTATCATTTGGAATTTAGAATTATCAATAGCGGATGGAGGTATGTGTATACAATAGTGTGTATGAATTATAATTGAATTTTGTTCAGATACTTGTGTCTATATGTACCGTACAATCTCGAAAAGTTACTGAGGGCCTACCATGAAATGTTTTCCAAAATTTCGGGGCCGAACGAAACATGAATTTGATGTTAAAATTATATAAAACATACCGTTTAAACATTTTTAAAATGCTCAAATCTTGTTCCCTTAGATTATTATGGTAGGATTTACGATGAACGGACATGTTAAGCGCTGTTTCTTAGGCTTTTGGTATGAACAAAAACAAGAAATTGAGTCAAAAAATTCGGAATTTAATTTCATGGTAGAGGCCCTGATTTACGTGTATGTTTTTTCGCAATTATGTTACTAGATCAAGTACGTCGTTAATTCTAAATTGATTTTAATATTTGTATAGAAATAGATAAGGTTTACTTTCGCGTTACAGACGATTACGTGACAAAAGTAATATGGGACCATCACAAGCGCATGTTGTTCTTTGCGAAGCAAAAAATTCGTATCAAAATCTATTGTACTTATCTATTTACTAGTAGTCATGATTCCGCATTCTGTATTCAAATATTTTAAATCCACTGTATTCCGCGTGAACCGGTAAGTACA